TTTGAAGCAAGAAAATGGAAACACTTAGAACTCAAATTGTAGTCACTTCCGGGAGAAAGAACAGAATGATGGCAAGATTGAAACGTACTACTGTAGAAAATGCGCATTTTCAGTTTCGTAAGGTTTCTCAAAAATAACTTCATAATCCAGGTTTAGGCGGCCATCTATATCAAACAAAAACTTGAATTTTCAGACCGCAATTGGAATTAAGAATAATCAAAATATCATTCAACCGATGAAAAAAATATATTTGGCTGAGTTGAGAACATTTCCACATTCAGAGAGATTCCAATCACTGTGTGGTTTATAAATTTTATAATTTTTTTCGAAACTTTTTTTCAAACATTGAATAATGATTTCGAATTTTGAAGAAAAAAGCAAACTCCGAGTTTTCGAAAAAGATGGGTTAAAAAGTTTCGATCCGTCCTACTATCTGAGATTTTGTCGTCACCTTTGAAAAAAATTTCACATTTAAACAAGAAAAAATTTGAAAAAAATGAGTAAAAAAAGTCATTGTTTTTTTCTGATACATGTGAATAATATAAGCTCATTGTCTGAGATTTTCCAATGAAAGAGTCTTTTTTTGATTGACTAACTTAAAAAGCTGTCCTGTTCAGAAAATTCTAAATAAGCAATAAAAAAAAGGCAAGCTATAGAAGTGAGGTGAGATCAGAGCGAAAAAAATTGCGAGACGTCTGGACCGTCTGGTTTTGAAAGTTCGATATCTTGTTGGGCCAGAGAACGGACAAAACCTGCGCGCAGACCGTTTCACATCGTTCTCTCGCGTAAATAACTCGCACGCAGCCGTTGAACATGTGTAGGTCGTAAAATTTTGTCTTTTTGTAGACTTAACGAATGCTTAAAAGTACCCTGATAGTTTTTTTAGCGGAGTAAAGGTGTAAATTGAAACGAAATTATCGTTCTGAAATGAAAACGGAAAGAAAAGATAAATTCTGAATCTGTTTAAGGAAACTTCAGCGCGGATAATTTCACCCAACAAGCCTCTCGTGATACTGCGCTCGATCCGCTCTTTCTCCTCTCTGAGGTCTCATTCTCAAGGTTGCTTGGGAAATGATTTAAATAAGTGCGTCATGGGAACTCGCGCTCAACTCTCTTTTTCTTTTACATCTTTTTTTCACTCACAGCGCGCTAAAAATTGAAGAAAACCGAAAAAGGGGAAAGTAAGAATTTTCAGTAAGATGCAGTGGAATGGAATTATAAAATTACTTTCATAACTTTCAAAGGAATTTGAAGGGAATGATTCAAATTGTATGACTCACTTAATCAAAAACCAAAAATGTTTTATTCTCTCACACAAGTACTAAAAATAGATGAATTGATTTTTTTAATCAAAAATTTTTCGAAACCTTTTGGTTTCCGATATATTTCAACTTCTTAGATATTGAATCAAGAGAGTGAAACCCCGAAAAGTCTACGAAAACTTATAAAATTTCAAGAAAATGAAAAAAGTATATAGGGCGGGATGAGAGTCCGGCCACACCTTGCACTTCTCAAACTACTTGGTCATAAACAAAAATAAGGCCAGAATTTGGCTTCGTTTATGTTAATGACGTTTATGAAAAAGCGTCATGCACTTTCATTTCCTATAAAACAAAAAATAACAGAAACAGTGGTACAAAAACTTATTTGAAAAATGAAATAAGTTCAAGTATCAGTTTCCAGGCAGTGTTAAATAATTTCCCTCATCCGTTCGCAGTGCACTATCACCTGCCAATTATCTTCAGCGGTTGCCACAGCTCAAGTTGCAAGAGTTTTATTGACAACCCTCCCATTAGACTTCCTCTTAATTGGAGCAGTCCGGGCTAGCACTCAGATCAATGGCAAATGGAAAAGATCAAACACCGCTAACTGGAGAAAAAGGTACCAATCGAGGGTGTATTACTTTTTTTGTAGTAACATTTGATAAGAGATAGAAAATTCTAGACATTTTCGAAGCCCATGTACTCTCTTCACTCGAAGTGGCACCTCTATTTGGCCGAGGTTGCCCTAGAGTGTACACGGCGTCCGTGCCCGAGCTACACCATCACCGCCGTGCCCGTACCCGCGAAACCGAGAAATCTACTTGTGAAAGAACGAGTCGAAAGATCGTAAGAACATGCTTTCAATTCAGTCAACTACACGTTTTGACTTCTTTTTCGCCAGAGGCGCTGTTAGTACCGCTCAAAAGAGCGATTTCTTCACCGTCTAGTCGATTCCATCTGATTAAAATAACCAATAAATGTTGATGATGATGAAAAAGCTGAATTAACCTACAAAACAGATTGACAAGGAAAAATTGTGGTTCGGACACCAGATGTTGATCTTAAAAATAAGTAAGATCTCTAAAACTTCATCTTGCAAAACTTTCTTGGTTTTTGATTGAGTACACCTCAAATCTAAAGGACGACACCAAAAGCCATTGAAATCGGTCATCTGGAGGTTTGAATCTCTAATATTTCTAAAACTAAGAGCTTTTGCAGGTTTTGAGACTTACAGGCAGTTTCTAGTTAATTTTTGGAGAGAAACTACTTTTTCGAACACAAAAACGGAACGTATTTTGAAAATGTAAAACTGGCAAAGTAATGCTTTCTGGCTCTCACAATAAAGTTTATATACAAGACTTGTGTGAATTCAATTGTTTTTTCCGATTCGTGGAATATCATGACGGCTAAATCAGTTTACAAAAAAACTATTGAGTTGCCTGGGCAGAAAGCTTTTACGCCCACAAGGTATCGAACATTGATAGCGAAAAATAAATGGACGAATCGTGATGGGCGGAAAAATCTTTATTATCAGCAAGATCTTTCGAAATCTTTTTGTGTTCGTTCTTTTTCTTTTCTCTAACCATTCAATCTCATCATTTCATTTCTTTCGTACAGAATTCAAATATTTCTTCTTAGAGGTTTGTTTTTTTTTTCTATTTTCTTATTTTATTCTTTATTTGTTCAAATGTAGAGCTCATTGAAATATTAACAAACGAGATTTGGAAAGAAAAGCCATCCTAAAAAGTTTTAACTTTCTGGAAATTATTTTTGTCCTCCAATTCGGTTTTGTAGCTATTTTCAATCAAGCGCTTAACAAATTCCACTCTTCCGCATTTGCAAACTCCTACTTTGTGTTTTAATTGCTTTCTTGCCGTCGAATGCCTTCTATGTTGGATTATTCTCAGGTAAACTGGTTATAAACTTGTTTCTGAAAAAAATATCGAAAACCAGTATTTTGTTCGTTTTTTTTTGGTAGTTTCTTCTCGTTGTTTCGATTCGAAACGAAGATACTTGCCTGTGGAGGCACGATGCAGTTTGGAGGCGCAGCAGGCATGGGCAGGCCGGACTGGAGCGAATCCGTGTTCTTGCGCTTACGCATCAGGTTGCGTAAGCTGCTCTCGCTGGCGGGCTTGTTGCCGTGCCAGTGGCGCCCAAGGTCAGAGTCGTCGTCGCCGCCGTCTTGTCGTCTTTTGATCGGCTCGTCTGTGGCCCGTTCTGAAAGTTTATCATTTTCCTAGTCGCGCCACGAATTTCCCCGATAATATTTACGAAATCGAACAACTTGAAAGTTACGGTAGTCAAACAGGTGTTATTTGAGGCATAGGACATGTTGGAGAGGATTAAAGATTCACAGACAAAAAGGCCAATCGAGGATTATGAAAAAAAAAAAAATTGACAGGTTACTTTATCTTGGAATTAGAAACCTCAAACCCCTCAATTTTTTCAAATAACGTATACATATAATTCAGAGAGAAAATCAATCGAATTAATGAGGGCTTCAAAGATTTCTAAACACATTGAAGTAAACAAACTTTTACTCAGATAATTAACAAACACATTCAAAGGAACAAAATTTCTCTCAAACAAAACAAAGTTTAGAAACTTCGAGAGTACTTTGACTTCTTAATTTCGAATGAAACAACTTTTCTAACCAGCACAACAGAAAGACGGATAAAATCGCTTTTTGGTATTTGAATTTCTACGCGAAAATGTATTTTAGAGCATAGATTACTGTATCAAAGATTTTTCGCGCTTTTATAACGAGAAAATACGATTGGCACATGTGTCCAACGAATGAAGATTTTTTCGTTTAGATGAAAAGGCAGTAGAACGAGATGAAAAATTTTTATGTAAATAAGCATCACGCGTCACAAATCCAAAATTAGAATTTTCTACGGATGAGAAAAAAAAAATTGTTTAGGTTTATGATCACTAAACCTGGAATTACTGGACGAACAAGCTTTCAAGCACTGCTCATCGGGAATTAATGTGTTCAGCCGAGAAGAAGCCTCAATTTCACGACAGCACAGCGAGATTATCAACACGAAAGTTTGGGGCGTGACAGATAAGCAAATGTCAGTCGAGAAAATATTTGAAACACAAGCCTCAACTTCAAACTATTGCTTTTGGCAGAAAAACTTTTATTCGAAAGTATGTAAGAAATTGAATCTCTCCCTCGGATAATTTATTTTTGAGAATCTCAAAATATATAACAAAAAAATGGATTCTCATCGCTCTAATTTTTCTGAGATAAATTTCCCACAAACAGAAGAATTACGATGAGAATCGCCGTCCAAAAATTTCTGCGAAGAATTCTCTAGAAATTTTCCCGTTTTGAAATTCGAAAAAGTATGAAATTTTTTGTAGTAACAGTAAGTGGAAATAGAAACTCATTATGCAATCAATGAAATGGGATTCACGAAGAAAAATATTTATAAAAGACTTGAATTCAAATGCATTCATTCATGACAGAAGAAGAGAAAAGCTTTATGAGAGAGCTTTCAAAATCTCAATTCATACGAAACTTAAAAAAAAAGAAAAACGAGGACTTTTCAAAGAGTCAGAGATAACGTAAAGTTGGAATCTCTCGGTGATGAAAATGATTCAAATTGAACTAAAATTGTGATGGGTTTTTAAAAAGTTATAATATGAAAACAGAAACTGAAGTTTTGGGTTTGGCAGATTCAAAAAGAAGCCTTCGTAGAATGAAAACTCACAAAAAGAGGATCAAAAACAATGAAGCGAATAAAAAGGTTCCCACCAACTGAACTCCGTCTGATGGTAGCTGGGAAAGACCTCCACGTTCCGTTGTGGAATAGTCTAGGAGTGGGTCCCTCCTTCCCAAACCAACGCAAAGGAAGAACGATCAATGGTGGAGAGAGAATACTTGGCAAGCAGAGACGCGCGACATGGTGTGACCAAGGCGAGACACACCGTGAAAAGAGGTTGGAGCAGAAACGCAGACAGAGAAAGAGCAGGCAAGCGAGGAGAAGACCTACAATCAGGCGCTAGAAACGAGACAACGCTGCGCTTGAGCGCAGGAATTATGGCCCTCCGACTGATGGAGGCAAAGCGACGAGATGGGAAAAACGACCAAGAAATTAGCAGACGGACGTTGACAAGAGCGGCTACAGTACCGACATGATTAGTTCTATCTACAGTATGAATTTCAGCAGGTTTGCTTTGTTTCAAACTTAAAAACCATTCAGAGAAAAACACGCACCTAAAAAGCGTTCTTCACTGATGAGAGCGTGGCTTCACTGCCAGAAAAAACAAAAAAGTAGAAAACTTATTGAATGAGCGGTACAGTGGGAAAAACATGAACGATGCGATTGGTCGGTCTTTCTGTAGGATTTTTATGAAATTGTGACGTTTGTCAACAGGCAAGTTATCTGTCTGTAGTGCGCATTGAAGAGAATGACGTACGGCGTTTTGACTAGAATTTCAATACTTATCAACTTTTCGACTTCATTTTTGTGTGTTGATCACACACTTGTAATCTATCTAGATCGTGTAAAATGCTCTTTCAACAGTTGAAGATATAAAAATTGAAGAGCGTTAATCTGAGTTTTCAACTATTTCATCTCATTTTTAAATCTCTAACTTCTTTTGATGCGAGTAGGCAATCTTTTGTAAGGATCTCTTGTTGAAAATTATTTTTTTCAGTTTCTCTGCCACTCAAAACACACTCGTGAACTTGGAAAAAAAAAGGTCAAAATCAGATCTAATGGAGTTTCTAACAAGCTTTAGGACTTCATGAATGCTCAGATTTGGAGTTAAATAAATATCTTAAATGAGACCGAGAGCCCTTTCCGTGAAAAAAAGATGAATAGAATGAAGCTGTTCAGAAAAAATATTCACGAGGAGTTCTTTTCTAAAAATGGGAAAAGCTGATTGAAATTAAAAAGAAACAATTAGATTTTTTTATGGCAAATACCCTGAAACGATAAACAGAAAAAACTAAAAAGTAAGAAAAGATAACAAAATACCACGTTTGCGTTTTCCTGAAAGCTTCTTGCCAGAACGAAGGCTCACCATGTCAACTCAACGTGAGGACTTTTTTCAATCCTTTCTGAAATTTAGTCTCTTGAGAAATAGCTCTCGTTTGGAATCAGTTCTTACAAACGTATTCGGATTTCAGAGCAGCCGAAACTCATTGCCAACTTTTTTCGAAACGGAAAGATTTCTGTTGTGAACATTCGAAGCTTTGTCTTCGAAACATTGAAGGATCAAAAATCAAGTGTGGTATTGTAGTTCGTAATTATTTACACGCTGAGCTTCAAAACTCTCAGTTTAACTTCAGAGAAAGATTCTGAAGGTTTTGGTTCTTCGTAATCAAAGAATACATTTTTTCAAATAAAAAACTGAAGCAACCAAGAAAAAAGAAGAAAGGAAGCAAACATACCGCTCAGAAAAGAAGTTCCATGCGAAGTGTTTCCCAACGCCGTTGTTGCTCGCAAAGGCTTTGACTTTGGTACTGCGAATAGGCCGCGTCGCGAGATCTTGCCGCTTCGCGCGGCGAATTGACCTGGCGCAAATTCGGGTTTGATCTAGTCGATTTGACCCAGCTGTCGAGTGAAAAATCGAATAACACAATTTTTTCATTTTGGAACATTTTAATCCTCTTGAAGGGCTTTTGAAGATTGTTGTTCATGAACAACGGGCTCTGGGCAATTTCGAATTCAGATAAAGTTTTTTATTTAAAAGTTTTCTGCCAATTGTTGACAGGTTTGCTTCATCTCACAGCTGAAAAAGTTTTCTCAGTGAATGTTCTATTACAGATGTCCCCATTTCAAAATCTCTTCTCTCTAAAAGTCGACTTAAATTTTGTTACAAGCCGTAGATATCAACTTTATATGTGAGAACTACTGAAAAAAGTCAGGATTAGAATAAAAAATGGTTTGAAGGAGTATGACGCAAAATGAGAAAAATTGTAGAGATCTGTTCGAACAAAGGACTTCTAGCAGTAAAGACTGCTAGAAGTTTCAAACGGAGCGAATGAAAATTCATTCCGCTTCAGAATTTCAAAAGCTGAAAAAAGTGGAAGATTTAACAGCCATGAACTCAGTGAGCATGAGAAGGGCATGAGAAATGACTCAGCAGAATCACACGGAATTTTTGAAAGGACGTGCGGTGGAGCGTGTGAAAAGTTTGAGTTGGCATAAAATTCGGTAAAAAATGTACTTTGTGTGATAAGTTTCCTCTTTGAAACTGCAAAATCAACAAAATGAGCATTTACGAAATTGACAAGTGAAATGCAAACAAGGAAAATCTCAGAGCTTCCTTAATTATTTTTTAGACGATTCAACCAGAAATCTGCAACCATAAACCTTTCAGACGAGTTTTGGGGTTTTGAAGACGGCTAAACCCTACTTTTTCTCCATTGTACTCATAGAAAGTCAATTTCTAGAGCTCAAAATATGGTTAAAACCAGACAAAAGAGAAAAAAAGTCAGTAAGATTGAGAACGACCGAAATTTGAAAAAATCTATATGTGCTTATCCTTTTCACATCATTTCGCTCACATCAGAACTTCTCCTCAAGGATTCTCTTTTTAACATGTACAGAAATGTGAAGATTGGCTGCGTGGAGTGTTCAAGGCGAGGCTGGCCGTCGTCCCGATATATTCCGTCTTCACAAACACACGAGCAAGTCGGGTCGCGGCAGGCACACATACCGTCACACTCCGCCCGTTTTTGCCCACTTTTTTCACAAATAAATGATTTTTATCGGGGCTTCTCTCTCAAGTGAATACTTGAGAGAACAGTTGCTTCGAAATCGCTTTTCCATGATAAGATTCTGTGCAAGAAGAACTATTTACATGCAAAAAGCTTTCAAGGCGATAATGAACAAGTTTCCTCAAAAAATTTTTTTTTGGAAATTCTTGGGAGCTCAGAAGAATGTATGCAAAAGTGGACAACTAGAAAGTTATGCTGAGAATAAAAATGTTTTGCATTTTTCCAAATTGTGGTTTCTTGATTCGTAAAGCAGGTATGTAGTCAATCTATTTTGGAAAGTGCAATAAATTAGGCTTACGGTAACTCAAGGAAATTGAACGTTTGTATGAGATTATACACTGCCGAGAATATTGTTTAACGGGGCAAATGAGGTGGCAAAAGCTCATTTTTTTATTTTTCTGAAATCAGTACAAAAGGCAATAACGCCGTAGTACAAAGACATTTGCGAAAAAGAATAATCGAGAAAAAAACTTCAAAATGAAAAAATTTTTCGGAGCTATGTGTTTTTTTGTATCTAGATTTAACTGTTTCTCAAAAATAAATGTAAGAATGGAGCATGCTTTGAAGGTATCACCACCTGATAAACTCTAGGCAAGTATTAGAAAATTGGAAAAATGCATCTTTAACTCATGTTTTCTTTTTTTTTCTAAACTGTACTCGAAGACCTTTCGGTGAGTCAAGGTTGAACCCCTTTTCTTCGAAGCAGTTCAAGTTGCTCATTCTACTGTTAGGTTTGAGTGCAAAAGCATAAAAAAACCATAACTATTGAAACTCGCCTTCTCGAGAATTCCGATGCTTCAGAAGGCAAAAAGACATCAACGGAACAAGATGGTGAAGAAAAACATGCAGTAGCAGTAGTAAACGCGCAGCGCCAGGGCGGCGGCACAAAAAAACAATGGCGGTCGACGACGCGTCGAGAGAAACGACTGGCCCGAGGCGTGCGAGGGCGGTTGGGACGCTCCAAACTTGCCTCTTCTGCTTGGGAATCTCCTCGATTGCTTGAATTCCTTCTCTGACAAAGTTTTTCTGACTCCTTCTCATTATACTCTTAACGCCAGCTGGGAATTTTAAAAGTGCAAAACATTTACCGGTAGAAAACATTTTGAGAGCTTCCCAAAACCTCAATGAAAAAATACGAGGAATGTGTGGTGGAGAACGGTATCACTCCGAGCAATTATAAAACGTTTCCAAGTAGAGGTTTCAACTTATTCAGACTACTGGCTTCAAAAAAAGACAGTTTAGTGAACCAATCAATCCGAAATTAGTTTTAAAACTAACTTTACAAAAAAAAAGAAAAATAATTAGTATTGACAACCGGATGTTATAATCCCCTTAGAAGTTTGATAGAAGAATTTTCAGAGATTGAAAAGGCTACATTACATTTGATGAACGATAAACCTTAAAAATAACATGGTTATAACTTGCTTTCTCGATTTCCAGCAGAACTTTCAATATAAACTCCAAAAATGGAGCGTTAAGTCAAAATGAAGAGGGAGGTGACACATTTAAAATTAAAAAGCATGAGAAAAAAGAACCCAGCTGACAAAACTTGCAAGTCTAACGAGTGCCCTTTACTGAAAGAAAATTATCCTGAAAAAGCAGGTTTTTCGCGCATTGCCGCAAGGCTTGCGTGTAAGCCATAATCAGCATGTTCCGAGTCACATTCTAATAGTTGCGCGGTTTTCAGATAGCAAGCTATAATTTTTTGTCAATTGGCAGATATGTTGTACCTTGGAAAAGCCGTTTGGAGCGCCAGACTTCTCAGGTTTCGCTGCGCCTATTCGAGAGTTTTTTGTGAAAAAAAGATTATATTGGTTTACAGAAAAGGAGAGAGTTGAAAAACGGAACTTGCCTTTTCTCTTTCGCCTGAGACGGAGGGTTTCATTAAATATAAACTTTCTGGGCGGAAGAACGCAGAAACTTCGAGAAAAAAAAACAGTGACGCAAATTGAACGTGTCTTTTTTCTGAATCTTCCCGAGCATGTGATCATGAGAATCAACACTGTATATTTTCACGATGATTGGCAAATACTTTTCTGTGAAAGAATATTTCGAAAGTCTTTCCCATCAGAAAGTTTTAGTATGTCACAAAAATCGAGGGAAAATCGTATTGAAATTTTATTTCACACTCAGTTTCCAATAAAAGAATAGCGGCATTCAAAAAAACGGGCATTTTTCAATATTTTCTAAAGCAGCCATCTCAAAAAGTATAACGGAGACTGCAAGCTGAAATTTTGTCAAGTGAAGCTGAATTCGCACTGAATTTGACATCCTCTCTCAAAAAAATAACTGATTAAAGGGGTGATGAAGTTCGAAACTTATTGAATAAAAAAATACCACGAGAAAAATATAGATTCAATGGCAACAAACGAAAAAAAAAATGTGTTCCAGCGAAACGGGAATATTTTAAAAAAGAAAATGTTATTTGCATGACTAATTATTCCAGAACCTCGTTAAAAATTATGTCATAGGACAACCATATTCCACGGGAAAAAAACTGGCGATGAGCGGACTAAACCATTTTTTTATAGAAAATAGTTTGAGCAAAATAGGTAAGAGCTGTTTTTTTCTACAATTTCCCACAATAGCTGCTTTGGAAGCCTCATTCGCACAAGTTGAAATCAGTAGTAGCTGCAGCACTTCCATTGAGGCTCGCTTGTGGCCAAATCCACGACGGCACTTCCTGTGTACGGTTCTCCGAGTTTATGAGCCATCACACGTCTGAAAATTGAAAGAATTTTCTACAACAAAATTGTTTAATGTTTGCTGAATAATCATAGTTCACTCTACTAATCCAGCCCAGACATGTGATTCGAGATATGCATTATGACTGAGAAAATTTCCCGTAATCGGGGAATTTCTTTGAATAGAACATTTCAGCAGCGGATTAAACCGAATCGAAGCGGGATGAGGGGCGTTAGTCACGGCACTCATCCCCTCCAAAAGTATTAGCGACGCCCTCGTTGCTTGACGGAGGCTCCGGATATATGTAGAACTTTTGATGCGAAATGGACGGGGAACATAGATTTTTTCTAAGGTTTCTTCAAGTACTATGACGTTTTATACGATTTGAAAAAAGTTGAAAGGGGTTTTGACCTAGCGTAGTAAAACTTGGTTTTTGATCTGGCGTAATAAGATTTGGCCTTGCCCAAAACGATATGCTTCAACTACTTTGGCCTACTTACTTCAACATTTTCTTCCGACAGGAACACCTGCCATTTTTTTTTTCTCAAAAAATGATGTTAATGATGACGTTTTTTGATGAAAAGTACCATATCACTGTGGTGGTCTGAGAAATACTTGAACGGAGTATTTCTGAAGTTTGATATGACGTTTTTCCAACACAGGAACCGTATAAAAGCTCCTGACAGTTTTGAAACCGGAGCGAATATTTCAAAGAATAGCTTAATCCTAGTGAGCTTGATAAAATTCTCAAAAGTACTCTTAAAACCAACCTTGCAATATCCGTGAAAGCTTGGCTGACGTTATGTCCAGTTTTTGCACTTGTCTCAATATAAGGAATACCGTAGGCCTAAAAATATTTTTTTTTTTTCTGAGCTTCTTTTTTTTTCACCTGAGCCAAGTGCCTTCCTTCTTCTGATTTAACTTTTCTCGCACTTCCAAGATCACATTTGTTTGCCACCAAGCTCACTTCGACAGCATCTTTGCCATACTCCTTTATCTGTGCCAGCCAACTCTAAATTTGGTTTTCGATAATTGGAAGAATTGACAATTGAGAAACGTGGAAGACTATATCTAAAACTGTTTCCAGAATTTTTCTACTTTAGATAGGAAAAGAAAAAGCATGATATGATCCTGAAAGGTAGCTGTTGACCCACGCGAATGTTCTCAAAACTGGTTCGATTGGCGATGTCGTAGACCAGAAGCAGTGCATCAGCATCACGGTAGTACGAAGCGGTAACCGAGCGAAACCTTTCTTGTCCGGCCGTATCCCAAATCTCAAACTATTTTTGTTGAAAGATGATGTACACCATTTGCCAAAATTTTAAAAAGTTTGAACTAGGTGCTTTCTTGCTTTTTTAATGGAAAAATCATACATAGAATTTAGCACGGCAAACGAAAATCCCTTTTTGACAGAGAACGAGGCGCAGCAGAGAGAACATTCTATTCAAGTTATGTCATATAGTTTGCAGGAGTTTTGTTGGTTTTTATGAACATTAAAACACCCAAAAGTTTTTGTCACTGGAACTTTACCTGAAGATTGATCTTTTTGTCATCAAGCTCGATCACTTTGTTCTGAAACTCAAACTATCTTCCGTTTCTCTCTCTCTCCCAGCCTACCCTGTAATCGATTCCTATCGTGGAAATGAAATTGTTGTTCAAAAAAGCGCCGTCTTTGTACCTCACTAGAAGACAAGTCTTTCCAGTGCAACTGTCGCCTAGCAGCATCACCTGCAAAATTTCCAAATATTCAGATTTTCGGGTTTGGTTTCTTTTTCCACCAAACCGAATCATAAAAGATAAAGCTTTCTTGTAATCAGCTATAAAATCTTTCTCTCAAAAATATCTTTGACTCCGTAAAAGTTAATAGCGGATAATCGCGCTTTTGATATCTTCCTAAAAAGGATTTCGATACAGAAAAAAACAAAATTAATGATTATCTTCGTTTCCTGGAAGCCAACTCTGAGAGTTTATGATTGCTGAACAAACTAATGGACTTAAGAATTTCTCTTGACTATTTTATACGAAGGTGGGCTTTTTTGAAATTATATTTTTTTTTTTTTGAAATGACTGAAAGATTGTCATGAAATCGATCTGACGACTCCAGATGATAAACTTCCATCATTTTAGAGTTCACCTTGAGCGTTGTGTCGACATCTAGATCGATCTTCATGTTGAAACCAAATCAGAGAACCTCTCAAAATTCAAAATGAAAAAAAGATATTTGAAAGATGTAGACTATCTGGCAACGGCGGATTCACAAAGACAGCGTTATATGCGGAATGAAAGGACAGATGGCGACTGCCATGAAGAAGCGTGGTATGAAAAAAAAAAAGAAACAGAGGTTTTTATCTGACACGAGAGGTACTCTGGAACCACGAATCGCTGTGGAATTGCAACGGGCAGCCGTTTATTTTCTCTCTTTGGCCCTTGTGCTTCTTCCCAAAAAAAAAGAAAGAAGGAGGTGAGTGGCTCCTTCTACATTCCTAGGCGCAAAATCTCGGAGTTCACATTTTCAAGGTTCCGCCTTTTCTGAATTCGTTACTTCACACCCTCGAACTTTCAAACGAGTTTTAGCGCTCTCAGAAAACTTCTCAACAAGAGGGTCAGTTGAAAACGATGAGGTCTAAAAGGAGTGACTAAAAATAAAGTAGGGAAAAATGATGCATCACTTGTCGTAATACCTGATGTAGTGAGAGAGTGAAACGACAACTTTTATTTTTTCATCTATACAAATTTGTCTCAAAAAAGGGAAGTGTACTAGTTCTGAGAGATTTTCACTTATGCGCTTTCCATTTTTAGTGATAAAACATCGATTGCAGTTTTGCTGCTATTCAAAGCGACGACCAAAAAAAAAATCTCAAATGGCGAGCATCGCTGTTGAAAAAACAGCCAAAACCATGATGGAGAGAATAAATTGAGCTGGATTCTCACACGTGCCCCTCGCACCTCAATTGATGGCCCTATATGAACATATGAAGCCGAAAAACTCATTTCCTACTCTTCTGGAAGGATGAAGAAAGCGCACGCTTTGAGGATAATTATAACGGCGACTAGGCTGCACTTTTTGGCACCCTTGGAAAGCCTAAATTGTCGCGCTTTTTCAAGCGAAAAGTTCGCGCCATGGATATTCATAATCAACGGAGAAAACGTGCCAAGAAACGCCAAGAAAACGCTCTCAGAAACTGAACGTTTTTCTGCTTTCATGCCTCCTCCTTTTTAATATTGGTTTCAGAAAGATTCACCTCATTAATTTTATGCTCAATAAAAAAACCGCATTAAATTGAATGACATATCAAAAACAAATTGAGTTCAATTCTATTAAAAAAATAAGAAAAATGTCTTCAATGGCAGAAGCTTCTAGATAAATATTCCGAAAAAAACGTTAAACACGTCTAATTGCAGCGGAAACCATGGCGCTTTAGCTTGAATAATTCTACATGCCGAAATTCAAGACCTTCTCGGTAATTGACGCGCAGTTTGTTTTAACGTTTACTAGAGATACTAAACGTTTTATAACAGAAACTGAAGATCCCTTGAAATTTTAAATGAGCCTTCAAGTTTTCTTATAAAAATTGTTAGTTTTTTTGGTTTGGCATATTTTTTTGTTGATTCTGGATTAAAAGGACACGTGAAGTTCAGCTGGAAAGACGGATAATTTGTGCAAAATTTTTGTTTCACAAACCTCGAAACACCCGAACCTAGATATTTACAAATTAAGCTTGAGGGCACAAAAGAAAAAACGCTCTACTAATGCTTAGCTGAACGGGAAGATTTTCAAACAGCGATGGAATCATTCTGAGCATTCCCAAAATGACATCACCGTGTAAGGAGCCTTTTATTTCAACCCGACGCCTCGCACGCAGAATCATCTCGGTTTTCACAGAACAAACAAAACCCGGAAAGCCCAGCGTTCAACCTCCGCCGGATCTCGTTTCCTTCTTTTTTGTGTCTGAATAATGGAAAAGTTGAACTTCCGGCCTATGCCAGGACTTAATTGTCTTGCGTCTACAATCATGTAAATAATTCCGCTCCAGCTAGGTCATTATTTTGTTTTTTTCACAAGGTGGTACGCCCTTCGTCAGACAGAGGTTCTTTTCGAAGCTCAAATGAAGGGCTCAACAGGAAACTGAGCATGAATTGGAAACATCGTTCCTGATTTAAATTTAAAGGACCTTATTCTCACCAAAGAGAATAAAAAAACAGAAGAAAGTGCGCCTGAAAAAGAATTAATTTTCTTCCGCTCAAAGTTTTTCAATAGTTTGTTAATTTTATTGTTTTTCATTACAATTTATTCATTTATTTATTTATTTTTTTCAAGTTAAAAAAACTTTTTTTACTATAAATGGACCGAATTTTTTTAAAAGCCATTTTATATAGTTTTTTTGCAATAATGCAATATATGCTAGACAGAGAAAAATTCCGAGAATTTTATCTTTTTCCTTTTGAATATTTTTTTTGGCACAGCACTTTTTTCAGGCAAAAGGTTTTTTTTTATTTCTTAATTACTCGAAACAAAAACGCTGATTTTACTTCCTGAGTTTTTGTTGACAGCTTCGAGTTTTTCGACTGGACTCAAGGTTGATCTTTGAGTTCTGACGTAACTTTGTCTGAGAGATAAGAAAAGAGAAGACGAAGACTCGCGTGCATAAAATTGTCGAGAAAAGTCTGCTGAGCCATCTGCTTTGATGGATGAGAAGAGTTAGTTTTTGTTTCTTCAAATTGTCGATTTTTTCATTTTCTTGACCAAAACTTTTTTATAACAAAACCTATCGGAAAAATTTCAGGAAAAATAAAATCAAAAATTTGGGTCAGGGTATACTTTTTTTACATTTTTTTACTTCATGAATGTTTGAAAAATGAATTCAAAACTTACGGTGAAAGTGGAGTCGACATCTTGGTAGATAGATGATCTTTTGCGTATCGGCTTCATCTCATCGGATATGTAGCAAAGCTGGAAGTGCCGCCGCCAGCAATACTACCTTGAAATAAGGGAAGATGACGCGTGGGAAGAAGGTAAAAGTCGATAACAAGATTGCGTGATAAGGAGTTCGGCTCCCAAGTGGTTTATAGGCTCAAAATTAGTGATTTTCGATAAAAAAAGTTACTGAAATCAAGTTTTTTTCACTTTTACAAAAAAACTATTTTTTTATTGATTTCAAAAAAACTTGCCGATGAAACGACCGAAGAGGATTTCCTTACCGCAAGAAATCAAAAAAAGGTTCAGTAGAAATTTTTTTGTTTATTGGACGAAGAAAAATGATCGTAAACTTAGATTTTGAAGTTTTTTTCGACAAATAAAAAAAGCGTTTCTATTTTCAATTTTTTTTCAAAATGTGAAACCAGGAGGATCCTACCAATAATTGTAAAAAAATTGAAGGAAAGTGATAAAAAAATATTATGAAGTCACCGATATATTTTTGAAGCTAACTTTAAAGCCTCCTATTTGAACTCAAAAGTTTTTTTGTCCCAAGTCAAAGTCGTACTTCGGAGCTTCGGAAATTTTTTCGATTTGGTTCCTTCTAGACCATCATGTATCTCTGAAACTTCAGCAGAACAGTGTTTACGCATTTAAAAGAATGAACTGTCCTTTCAAACTTTCAAATACGACATCTGTTAAACTTCAAAAACTGACCGCTTGAAATTCTAGCCCTAACCACAGTATTAAGGGACACTTCTTCTATGGGAATTTCGAAAGTTCCGACTTCCAGGATATCGCTGTGCAAAAGATAAAGATCTTGAGTAAAAATGATCCCAAATGAAAACTACAGTATTTTTTTAATAAAAGTTCTGGAAGGTTTGCATTTTGAAAAGCTGAAAAACCTGGTTTTTATTACAAGGAACAGCTTTGAAGATTAAAAAGAACAGGAGATTATCCGCTGGTACGATAAAAAAAAATCCCAACCAAATTGCAGTTTTTTTATTGAAGTTGATTTGAAAACTTTTAGTCGGTGAGTTTTCGAAAAAAAGTTATAACGCAAAATACACGTCACACTTATGACAAAAGATGTTGGTAAAGCGCAGAGAGGCGGATCTTCTCTCCCATTTTTGCCATTTCCAACACCCGCAAGCGTTTTGTTGCCTTCTTTCGATGGCGTTTCCCATCCCGACAGCCATATTTTTTCGCATTGTCTTTTGGTTGGCAAAAGCGATCAGAGGGCTGATAACATTTCGAGAACAACCCTAAGAACAAAATGAAAAATTGGAATGGATCTAAAAACATTGCTTTCTCGAAAGCTGGTTTAAAATAAATATCTTAACTATTTATTACTGTTTGAGATCTTACAAGAAATGTGAAATTTTTTTTTGGAAAGTTTCTAATTGAATTCACGGGAGATATAGCGCTTCCAGTCACAAAGGCAAAAACTGTTTTTTTTTTCATTGAAAGAAATAAAAATCGGAGTGCTAACAGAAAAATGTACTTTACACAATGCAATTCTTGCAATTCGTTACCTGCAGGCGCAGTATAATTGAATTTGAGAAACCAGTTGAAAAAAAGAAATAAAGAGAAATATTGCAGGTGTCTGGCGTTTGCCCTGGGAAAATCCTTTTGTGCGAGCTCATTTCGAATTAGTTCTTATTCGGAGGCTGGAAGGTGCGAGAATAATTTAGAAGGTCGCAGCAGCAAAAGCTTCTCTTTTTTAAACGGTCATGCATGTGAAGAGGTTGTCCAACTCAAGAGGACCAAACGAGAGAAAAGTTGATGAATAACACTCAAAATATTTTTGAAAACGTTTTTCCCAGAAATAGTTGTGAAGGTTTTGTGGAAAAAAATAACAAAAAACCAGCTATAAAAATAAAATAGTTCTACTATGACGGTGGATATATATAATTTTTGCAGAAAGATGAACAATTAGCAGCTGAAAAAAGGACATTTTTAACGGCGAGTACATAAAAAAATATCAGAAGCTCACTTAAGCTGTAAATATGTTCTACAGACCACGTGAATCACACTAATGAGTCCCTTGATGCCTTGGTAAGCCGAGTGTTTGGAATCGCATTTCTTTTCCACCACTGCTAATTAGGGCTATAGAAAATGGGTTCACAAACAACTCATTTTTGGAAATTTTTTCAGTAGTATCAAAAAACAAAGGTTTTCTTTGACTTTGAGATCTTATATTTCTAAGAGGGGATCTGCAAGCCGAAACTTTTTAAATCTTCATCTGGTTTACTGAAAGTTTCACTGGCCGTTTATCAGAAAAATCTCAATCGCAAAATAAAAAGATCTCTTGAAAGTAAATTCGCTATGAAGAAGAAATTCGGAAGATTTTTCTATCGGTTCAAATTCACACAATAATATGTCCCAATTTTTCAAACGCTTTTTTTAAAGATACTTTTTGAAGTAAGAAAAAAATGGAACTGAAGTTAGAAGCGTCGAAAACAGGATTTATGCCAAAGTATTTGTTTGGCAAAAAAACGCTTTTTGGAATGACTGGGAGAGCGGTTTTGCCCCAAGGCAATCCTTCCACGAGAAAAAAGAATCACGAAGCGTGCCGTGTAAACGAAAATCTCGTAGAACAGGCAATTTTTGGCAATTCAATTTATGTTTGAGACGAATTTAGGAGCCTCGAAAGTGCTCGAGTAGGACGGAAGGCGAGGAAGCGACCCTTTTTTTCCATTCTGCCAACTTCTTTGGCGTGCAAAGTCGCTAACGCAATCAGAGCCTGAAAAAACGGACTCTTGCTGTTTTCCTGAGTTGTGTTTGAGGCTATTTGCATCAAAAGTGGAAGTTTTAGGCGCATACTCTTTGAGTGCTCTTTTAGGAATTGCATTAGGACTCGTACTTCAAAACTGAAATTTCTTGCTTAAATGCAAATATGATGAATGAGCACTCAAAAAATTAAAGGAAAAATGAGATGAATCAGTTGAATTTTTGATAGATGCAAAATCTTGAAGCCAATTGGTAAATTTTCTGGGGACACCGAAAAAAAGGTTTTCACTGGGAAGTGTAAATAGATCTTGAAAAAAACTTTGATATATCACAGAAACTTGAGAAATTTATAATTTTCAGTTCTCTTGAATAGAAAAAATCTTCTCGAAATGGTAGAAGTAAAGCATGAGCTTTTATAAGACACAGGCCGACTTCGTTTCAAATAACGGAAAAACAAAAGCAAAATTTAGGAATTTGTAGCCGTCCGTCGAGCATCCCGAAAACCAACTAGTGAGCCCAATCGGAGGAAAGTACTTCCGCTCGTTATGGAATCTTGCCTTTCCTTCAAAACAAAAAGTGTTCTTCCGCTTATTGTTATAAATTTATTTTTAAGTGTATCTTCCAACAAAAGGTTCTACTCTTTGAAAGCTCAATCCACGCCTGCAATCGTGAATAAAATTTTCATATTTTTTCAGTCGAGTGAGATTTACACTCAGTTTGAAAAAAATTATTCTTAGATTTAGAAAAATACCCATGTTTTACTACAAAAAAATAGGTTATCCTTCTTGTGGACTTAGAAACTTCCATTTTCCTTTTGCAAAACGGTTGTTTCCAATTCTGTTTGAACTTTTGTTTGGAGAGAGAAAAAGTGATAAAAGATTCGTAGTTGGCTGGAAACATATCAATCACGTGAACAATTTATTTACATAGATGAACATGATAAAAAGGAAGCGAATCCAAAAAGTAAGATCAACAATACAATGTATTTACAGCTTTCACAGTTTCTTCTCAAAACCGCGCGGAGGAAATGTTAATGTAAGCTTGTTGTCTCTCCTGCTCCTCCTTTATCAGTTTCTGCACATTCTTCTGGAGTGATTCTTCGGGGTACCTCAAATTAGAACTTGTTTTAATGGTTAAGTTTGGATTTTGTACTGTAGTAAGATTAAAATGAAACTAACGTGGTGTTGGCTTTGCCTCTGAACATAGCAGACATTTGATTGGCTCGACTGCTATCGATGGCTGAAGTGGGTTTTTGAGTAGTGACTGTAGGTGGAGAAGATTGTTTGGCCGACATGCTGATGCTGTAAAGTTTTTGCTTGGTTCGAACAACCTTTTTGTGACTTGAAAACGGGAGCTTTCGATTTTTGAGAATGGAGATCGTATAATTACATCACAACGTTTTTTGACAGCATTCATGATTAAAGGTTTTAAACGAACAATTTTGGCTTATTGATACTTTTCCATAAGAAGTACTGAAGTTTGATTCAATTCTTTTTTCTTGGAAAAAAACGCGAGAAAACAAGTGATTTTCAGCTTCAAGCACTTATTCGTGAGAGTTTCAGGCTTAATTTTCATACAAGTTATTCGCCAGCAAGCTGTTCAGGTGTTTTATGACTTTGAGCTTTTTGATGTATACTGATCACGGGGTTCCAAAAACTATTAGAAGTTGCTTCAGCCGGAAGAAATATCAAACTGACCCTTCTTTTGTCATGTAGGGGTTGAAGATGAACTGCTGGGCTTTGCGAGCGACGATTTTGGAAGAAGACATGACGAGCTTTCCTTTTGAAACTTTTTGGAGTCGAGTCGATTGAATACGTCTGACTATTTATATCAGTGCGACTTGTTTACGGACACCGAAGTGCAAAGTATATCAGCTCCGTCGAAATTTCTTTTTGTCTCTCTTCTTTGTTTTGATTGGTGCCTCTGTGTACAATCGTTTGCTGTGAACTTCGGTCTGCAGAACGTCATCTGAAAGTTTCGATATGTCTGAACTTGCATTTCCAAATATGGATAACAACAATTTCGAAGAGATTCTTAAGGATCAAGGTAAAACTTTTAAAATAAATTATTCCCCAACCGTTCTTGTTAAACAGCGGAGGACATTGAATTATGGGTTGAATTCAAAAACTAAGGCCTTATCGAAACAAGTTTCAAGCAAAATTCGCTGTTACCCTCGTTTGAACTGCGGTCAAACTCATAAAACTGCTGAACAAATGAAGTGGTATATTATTTTTTCCTTTTACCAGAAATAAATACCCCCTCAGTATTTTTTCGCAGAAAAATCGCTCTGAAACCGCGTGTTTTTTTATTCAAGTTTGATTCCAACTGTGATCCAGATTATTCTCTAGTGAATTATGACACTATTGAACAAATTCTCAATCGTTTTTCCTTGCAAGTTTCGCTCCAGAAATTTTTCTAGTGTACCTTGGATCCAATATTTTTTATTAGCGTTTATCAGCGCCACAGACCAACATAGAAATGGTGTCCTAAAGGGAATAGTCAGTATAAACAATAAATAAATTTGGCTTCTCCGATCGTCACATGTCCTTTAGACTTTGGAGTGTACTTTGATATAATCGATACTAAACAGTTTAACGACAAAGTAATCACAGCAAATGTCAGTAGTCAAACTTTTTGAATTTAGACTATTCAAATTTACGTAGAAATTTATGTTAATTTATGTACTGTTATCAACGAAATTCTGTGTGTACAGGTAACAACTTGAAATGTAGTTTTTTTGATCAGTAAACATCAGCCAAAAAAATAAAAAAAAAGAAAAAAGTTAAAAGGACATAGGTCTAGCAAACCAAGAATGAACTTGCTGTTTTCTACAAAACGCAGAAACCAGAAGTCACTGTTTTTGGAATCTGCAAAATTTTTTTGGTAGATTGCTGACATCAAAAAAACCTGCATGCATTTTATTTTCCCTTTTTGAAACTTCACATGGGGCATGTTTGTGAGAACAACTACAGTTTTTTTCCTATGCAAGGATTTGAATTGATCAAAGCTTGAATTTGAAACAAAATATTTTTTGACATGGTAAAAATGTAAATTTTCTAATATGAACTTGAAAAATTGACTTTTTTAAACTAAAAAACATCATGGACCGGAAACATAATGAGTTAAGCAAGATCTTGAAAACCTTAAAAATAATCATCATCACATGATGAAGATGAATTCCTTTACTACAAAGTATGAGCACCGGTTTCAAGAAAGTTCTCAGTTTTCGTTTCACAATGGTTTCAAACATTCTGAAACTGCCATGATAAAATAGTAACTGCAGAAAAAGAGGGAAAATATGCTCTATCGCACCATGAACATCCTTCATTCAATATTGAACGGTTCAACTATAAGCAATTAATTTAAGCTTTTCAAAAACTTCTGTGTAAAAATAATGCAATGAAAAGATTGACAATCTCTAATTTCTTCTGAAACATTATCAAACGATGTTTCTCTTTCTTCACTATCGAGCCTTTAATAGGGCTGGAAAAATTTATAAAAAAACTTTAATCCTATTATTAAAAAAAGTTGTTACTTGTCAAGGTGCCCAAGATTCTGAATTTTCTTTTACCAATCATTGAGTCTTACTACTACTCACGATAAGCCAGTGGTCAAAATAAAATATAAAATCAAAAACACAAACGACCGTTTTTCAACGCTCGACTCTAATCACTGATAAATCAATTAAAAATGGTTTTTTTCAAGAAAAAAATCATAGAAATGTTCAAACCCTAAACAAATCGAAATAAAAATTAACTTAACTTGAAGCATCATGATGTTTTTTATTGTGGATAAAGCCGTATTTGCTTTCTGAATATTTTCTACGCCATCATTGCGAATTTGTGGCTTTGGAAGGGAAATGCTTTTAAAATTTATTTGTCCATTGAAATTTTTGATTTTTAACTGACATAATTTTTTTTAATTTCCTCTCTTTTCATCGATTGATAAATCTATTTTGTGATAAAAAAGCTTTATTTGATAATCTTCATTTAAAACCTAACACATACGAGTATACTTTTCATTTGCTTTACAATTTTCATAAACGAAGTCGGCAGGATTCAAAAGCTCATTTCAATGCTGGCGCGTTATCGTCGGAAAACGTCGCGGATTCTGTCTGAAAATCAAGAATTAATTCGAAAATGAATGTAACGTACTCCAAGCTCGTCGGTACCAAGGTGGGCGAATGGCGTTCTCGATGTTCCTACCGGCGCGTTTTATATCTCTCTTGGCTTCTTCTCAAAAAGTTCAGTTTTATGTTACAAAAGGAAGATAGGTACTCACTCACTGCACGCTTTCCACTGCGTTTTTCTCGTTTGAGCGCATCTTCTGGAATTAAAAAAATGAATTTCACTCAAATATTCTGAACTCTTTGACAAAAAAACAAAGAATTTGATTATTCCTTCAAAGCCAATCTATTACGTTGACCGGTAAAAGAAGACTGTTGGGTTTTTTTCATTCATATCTCATTTTTCAAAAAAAGTATTCAAAAAAAGCTTCAATTCTCAAAATGGACTTTAGTAAATCATTCTTGCGATAGGACAATTATTTTAGGTTTATCTGTTTTTATTATATTTGATAGTGGAACAAACCCCGAAAATACCGCTCATTTTCAACCTATCAAAACAGTCTGTTCTTTTTGCGTATCTTCATTTTACCTGTATATACCCCGGACAAGGGCTATTTACTTCAAATCGAACACTAAACTAAAAAAAATTAGAAAAATTTATTCAATAACTAATCTTTTACTCACTAATAAAAAACTGCGAAAGTAAAAAACTAACCGATCGACATAGTGGAGAAGGTAGGCGCGCCGTGCTTCGACCGGTATTTATTGAAATTTGGCAGAGACACGCGTCGCTGTCGATTTGCCGCATTCTTTTCCTTGGCGTCATATGATTCTGTTAAAACAGTTTCCTGTTGCCGTTTTTTTTTTACTGGGATACGCAATTTGAATTTGGACCTTGAAGAACAGATAATGACGTTTGACCTTGAAGTGGTTCAAAATGTTTTTTTAAAAATCGTATTGGGGAAAAAAAAATAAAAAGGAGAATCACGACATAAAAAAAAATAAAACATTAAAAGACAACTTTAAAAAAAGATCAATCAAGATCAGTTTCAAGCAAACTTCGAAGTTTTACCTTGAACCGCAACATAAGCTCGAAGGCTGTATTTTATCTGACAAGGGAACTGTTTTTACCCCTGATTGGACGTTTGACGAAACTTTGCAGGGATGTACTTTAAGGCATGCAGATTTCAAATCAAGACTTAAAACCCCCTCAAAATGAACCTCAATCTGTTTTCATTTTTCGTTAAATGCGGCTTTTGATTTTTCCGAGCAATAATATGACATAAAATTGCTTCTTTCAATTAATGAAACTTCATTCATCACCACTTAGAAAAGTTTTCTCCGATACGAACAAACTTTCTTTACCGGCATTGATTTATTTTCTCATTTTTACATCTTTTAGCAGAAAGCTAGTCAATCAGAGGATGAACTTTGAGGCATTTTGGACTGGTCTCCACTCCGAATCCGAAAAACTGAGAAGCCAAGACTGGTTGTCGTTGGTTCCGCACGTACCTGAAGAGTTGAATTCTTTTGAGTTTTCTTTTAAAATGAAGAATTTTATGCACTTACCCAACTAAAACAGAATCTTCGATGAACTCAGACGCTTCAGAGCCGCATTTGTTCTCAATCAACGGTTTGACACAATTCATCACAGAGCGCAAAGCCTCGCATCGTTCTCCTTTTTATCAAGAAATCAACAGCAGTTTTGCAAATTCACCTTCAATTTCAGCAATCTCCTTCAAAGCCGGCACGAAAATTGCTTGCACATGGTCCTTCATAGAGAGAAATTGATCTGCATCATCCAAGTCCCAAAAAAACGTTACAGAAAAATTAATATCGAGAAATTGGAAACACCAACTTTTTCTTTTGTGAGGTTAGCGACTTTGTCGACAGCTTTCTTGTGAATTCGAGCAATTCTGCGAGATGTGGAGAAGCGAGTATAATTGTAAGCCAACATTTCCTGTGATTCGAGTTGGATGAATTGGTAAATGTTCCAAACCTTGAAGCAAGGACTGGCCCAATCTTCAACATTGCGTGAGAAACAGTGATAGATGGAATTTCCAATGTTTGGGTGCGGACACTGTCTTTGCAGAAGAACTCTCAAGTTTCCGTCGGTATTTTTCAACTCTTCAATTCTCAGCAATATTTGAGCTCTGAATGAGGTTTTTTTACAACTGAAATCAAATTTGAACTACCTCGACTCTCCAAACCCTAGCTGACATTGGAGCTGAAGTTCATACTTTTCGCAAAGCTTTTTCATGCCCTCGTCCAAGGTCTTCAAATCTAGATTGATGAATCTCGCAGCAAACGGCGTCATTCCAAGAGTCAGCAATAACTTGAAAATTTCTAGTCTTTTCCGTTGCGAATAGTACTTACTTTGATGTCCTTGTTCATTTTTGCACTTGCAACTTTTTGAAAAACTTCTTTGGCTCTACCTTGGCCCAAATCGTTGCAGTAAGAGAAGTATTCGTCATACAGCTCTAGTCTGCAATAAGTTTATTTTCGAAGGAAAGAAGTTCGAAACTCACCTTTCTTCAATTGTCGAATTAATTGTAGCTTCAAGAAACTTCTGTCGTACTGTAAAACATTGCTTTACTCGAACAAACCTGAAGGTTTACTCACGGGCCGCGCCGAAGTCCCGGGCTTCTTTGAGGTCTTCCGCAGGTAATTGTTCGTGAAGCAACCCATAGGTCAGCTTAGTTTCAGATTGAACAAACAGGTAAAAAATAAAAACTGTCACAAAAATCATTGATGAGAAGGAAAAGCCGGGCGCGACGAGAAGGCAAAATTCGCGCGAAAATAAAAAGTCGCCGTCAGTCGTAGTAAAAATGAGAAGACGAAAATATCGATATCGCTTCGTACGACTTCTATTTGCGGTTTGTTTTACAGCGACGTTCATCGACCACGGCAGTCTTTCGATAGATCGCTGTGCTCTCACGTCATCACTCACCTATGTTCTGGTTTCAAGTTTGTAGGCCTTAAATTTTTTTTTCACTTTAAAAAAATATTCACATTTCGTTCTGAGAAATTTAGTTTTTTTGGCCATTTTCATAAATTCTGAAAAAATTTTATTTTCATTCGATATTTCGTAAAAACTCAAATTTTTCTTAGACTTCGCTATCAAACTTTGAAATTTTTGTTCAAGCTCAAGGTTCAATGGCTGGGACAATTAGATCCTCTTGGACATTTTCCTGAATTTCAAAAATTGCTATATTTATTTAATTTTCTATGAACATTCTAATTTTTCTAGAAGTTCCCTTCACTTTTTTAATCTGGTATCTAGTAGCATGGGTAAGTTTGAATCAAACGTCAGTTTTTTTTTGGTTTACATACAGAATCAGTGACGTTTCAGTGACAGACCAGCACCGAAATGAACTCTCAAATCCTGCCAATCCTTTTTATGAAAATAGTTAACGAACCTGTTGAAGCTTTAAAAAAACTATTGAAGAAACCTTTTTGCTACAGTAATCGTATTCTTTGATTAATGAGAGCAAATGTGAAATAAAAATCAAAATATAGGGGTCAACGAACAAATCCGAAAAAAATCCATCTCTAAAATCTGCACATTGCACTAATATTGACACCTGCAGTCCACCAAATTCCAGTGGTTCAGAGTTTTTAACGAAAATTTTTATTCAGATCAAAGAAACATCCTTTTATCAGAGAAAAGTTGGCTTATAAGTAAGTGTGGTGTTCTCTCAACAGTTTTCAAAACTAGTTAAATCTTGACTTTTATAAATTCCTCGGTTTAAAAATTCATTGAAATATTGTAAGAACGGTAAAGTCCCAAAGTACACAGAGTCCTGCTCTAAATTTTTTCCTCCAACCAAAAAAACCTAGCGTCGAACGCTATCACGGTCTCACGTGTTGCGCCAACGCTTCAAGCGGTGCTTAATTCGGCTCTGGCTTCAAGTTTTCAGGAGGCTCAACGCGTCGACGTGTTTGTGCCCCGAGGCAGCCGGTCGGTCGCTGCGCGACATGAAGAAATAGCGGGCATGCGGAGACGCATGTTCCGTCCGGAAACCACACGCCTCAAGTCACGGCGATTGCTTGTCCCGACTCTAAGCGCCTTGCGCCATGCCGGCATGCTACTTCGTCTCCAGCCATGTTTATCTCAGAGGTCAGGCATCATTTTTCTCTTCTAACTTATTATTCAACGGAAGGTTTGTGCAAACGCTTCTTCGTTACTGACCAGGGGATATTTTTTAGTCCTCGGTTAAATTTTCGATGAACCTTGGCTAAAAAGCACTTCAAGACCAACTGGTTTCAAAACAAGGGAAAAAATTTCTCGAAATAAATTTTTTTCGAATAATGAGTCCTCAAATTTCGCTCATTTACCCGAATTATGATGATCCTGTTTCACCCTGAGCTTACCTCTTTCAAAAATTAGAAAGCTCTGCATATTGAAAATTTCGGGATTTTCGCTCTTTCCTGTTCTATTGAACTGAAAAAAAAAATGAGACAGCTGTACAACATAAAGACCTCAATTTTGAAAGGAAGAGCAATTAGGTTTTTTTCAATCACACGCTTTTGCTTTATTACCAATAAGATCTGCTAAACTTTTTTTTCTTGAAAAAATAATGCTGCAGTAGAAACTTGATTGTTAATTTTCAATACGGCCTGGATTGGCTTCAAAAGTTCAAGCAAAAAACAAACACAGTTCAAAAAAATAGACAGATGAGAAATTGAAAAAAAATTCGAGTTCAACTCGAGAAAAATCGTCGTTTATTTCGTCAAATACGCAGGCAGATGTTTTAAAGTACGACAGTCAAGAAAAAAAACGTCACATTTGCGTCGTTTTGACTTTCCTTCTGATATTCGCGCTTTTTTTATTATACTTTCGAGTTTTCTCTAATTTTAGAGCATTTAAAGCCATCAATACAACTGATTTTCTGTTATAATTCTATTTACGCTTTTCTTCTTATTTTCCCCGTCACAGCGGAGATTATTTTATCCAACACAATGAAGTTGCCAAGTAGACTTTGTTGCGAATCCATGGATGCGGTAGCCAATAAGGTAAAGTTAATCAGTAGGTAAAACAGAACGGGCGTCTCTTCGAGAAAGCCGCGCAGCAAACATCCGTGGCGACGGCAGAAATCACTGACGCACGAGTAATGTGAGCCAGCAAAAAAGACAGCGACAGCTTCTGTTTGAACACGGAAAAGCGTGGGTCGTAGAAAGGAAGCTTGAATGGATGCGACTGTTTCGACGCCCTCGACCTTTTGTGCGACTCTTTCAGCGGAAGACGAGCCCGCTCGTTACTTTCTGCGCGTTGCTTCTGCGTGGAAGGCATCAAACTAGTTTATGCTACTACCAGCACCTCCACGCAATTCCCTTCTCGACCTCCGATTTTTCTCCGCTTCCCAACTTTCGCTGATTTTTTTTCTCAGTTCTAGGTACTTTTCATCTTTGTTTCCTCACCAATAACCAACAACAAAAAAGTTAGATTCTCTGGAGCTTTTTTTGTGTGACTGGACAGTCCCAGTTTCGAGACTGTAAATTTTTCTCTGAAGCATCAAAATAGTTTCGACAAAACTCAGGAAGCTCCGAAATTCCAAGATAAAAGTTTTGTAACTGAGTTGATCTCCTGATGACCGATCGTAGAAGAAAAAACCTTTATTTTACATCAAAATTTATTTGTGCATCAGCACCGCTGTGCGATTCCATTCTCGACATCCGATTTTTTTTATTTTTCAAACTTGCCCTTTTTTCAAATTTCGAGTTTGTTCTAATTATTCAATTTTGCAGTTTTTGATTGATGATCTTGAAAATCAGTTATCTGTATGACTGAATTAAATTTTTTTTTACTTAATAATGATTGCAGGAGATTATTTCAAAATAGTTCACATGTTCAAAGATCAACATGAAAGAAATAATTTCTCTCGATTCTTCGAGCTCTCCGTAAATTTACTCAAAAGATACTCTTACGCCATTCATTCCCATTTTTTGTCATGTGAAAATATTTGACGTAAGGGCAAGTAGCAAAAGACGAAGCCGAATGCGGTCTTTTAATCTGCTTACTGTCTGTCGACGTAGCAAGACGCCCCATCGCCGCTCGACTTTTGTGTTTTACTTGTTCCTCTCGGTAGCAAAACTACTTGCAGTTCAAACCTTGATTGTTCTCTCCAGTTTTGGCATTGGAAATCAAACATCCTGGTGCCTTTGACACCCCGATGAGGGGCTCTTGAACCATACGGTTTCCATTGTCGTATCCGCGTTCCAAGTGTTCCCATTTTTGAGTTTTCATGTGTTTTCATACGGTTGTTCAGCAGTTCTACCCTAGTTATTGCTTGCTTGATAAATTAAACTCCAAGAAAGTTCATTTTTTTTTGTTCTAAAATGTTTTGCTAGTCTTGAGAACTCATCTCTAACTTATGTTTCAAGCCAATTATGAGTCAGCACTCAGAGTTTCAGTTCTAACTAATTCAATTCAAGCTTTCAGATCAGTTTTTTTTTTTACAATAAACTAAAAAATTTCTGGGAATTCAATTTGAAATGCTATCCGATTTATTTCAGCTTTCCATGAAAAAACCCTTCATCTGATATTTATTGAATTTTTTCTGCTTCAATCGTCAAACTCAAGCCCGAACTAAAATGGTAATTTATGAAATTTTTGAAACACCATAATTAATAAAAAAACAAAAAAAGATGCATTAGCGATAAAACAACAAATTTGCGCTTGGATGAATACATTAAAAAGCAAAAGACAAGTTTCTGAGTAAGTCTCCACAAAAAAAAGTAGGTTCCGTCTGGTGTTGACATAATGGCTCCTTCGGGCAAAATGGTGTCGAAGTTGAATATTTGCTGGTCAGTGACACCTGGATTTGGACCACTTTCAACATTTGTTTTCCCTTTGTCGACTAACCTGTTCTCAGCTTTTGTATGAAAAATGAGAGCTTGGCTTTTTTCGGATTTGAAAACTTTCAGAATGTTCGTGAGAGAGGTTCGGTCGGTTTTTATTTTTCATTTTCGACCTTCGGAAACGCTAGGTAGAATGGTTTGGCAAGAAGGACATTTTCTGATTGCTTCAACTTTTTTCAAATCCGCAAACTTCATCTAGACTTAGAAATATTTGAAGTTGACAAAGTTTATTTTAAACAAGCTTTTGAATGTATAATGAAAACTTTTTTAATGCATTTTTTTGGATGAGTGACTTTTCTTCTTGTTTCTTGAATAAGTTTGTTTTAGGAATGCCTTTCTAGATGTAGGAAAAACTGCCATTGGAAGGTTGAAATGAAAGAAAATAGGAACCAATTGGTTGAATTCTGCATGGTTTCTTTCGTCCCATTTGCGTGCGATTGCAATTTCGTTCTACACACATACGGTTAATGTGAACTCGTGAACTTCTCCAAGTACTTTTCCGAACTTTGTCTTTCTCTATCTTCTCTGAAAAAAAGTAAACTTGGTTCCCCTGTTTTCATGCTAGCATATACCATTTAACGCCTCGCTGCATTTTCGAAGAGGATCGAGAGCGGTCGGTTTACCTTAATCGGATTCTCGTCTAATACCTGGCGGCTCTCGCACTTAAGCCTTTGTGTTTACGAACTCGTCCATTCTGGACAAACCTAAGTCGACCGGCATTTGCGTAAATGAATACGAAACAATTTTGTTAGCTGGTTTTGTTTTCTCTTCAAAAATATTTTATTAAGACTCCTGTTTCTACCAACCAATGTTCTCCCAATAGAAAGAAAGCTTATTTGGAACTATGAGAAAGACCTTTAGCTGGCTTTTTAAAATTTATGTCTCCCACCGTGGTTGTGAAGCTACCCAAACGTGTCAACCAGATACAGTGGCCCTTCAAGCGCAACATGACGTTTCCTTGTTTTTCTTCGAACGTCAGTTTAATATTGACGACGGTTTGCCACGACCATTAAGAAGCTGAAAACATTTTAGGGACTGATCCATTTCAAAGATCAAGCAGAATCTGCGCTGATTTTTCAACTTCTAGAAACTTCGCAAAACTATACGAAACATGGCGATAACCTGAAAACGATCCCATCTACAGAAGGATGCCAATCGGCGATCTCTTCTAAGCCTAAATCTCTTCACTTCGGGCACCTGATAGATCGATTGATGACGTAAATGATAAGGCCGTCGGTTTCGGTGGAACGCATCCAAATCTCCCACCCTTTTCTCCTCTTCTTAACGTCTCGTTCCCAGGCCGTATAGTTTTTTCTGCAGTGCTTTTTTAGCCACACATGTTCAGTCGGCGATTCGAGAACATATCAATCAATCCTAGGTCATTGTCTATATGACTCATTGTTTTGATCAGTCTATGATGATTGTTGAAAGTATCCATTTTCTTCGAATTCTCCCAATTTTAAAAACTAATGATCTTAATTTTGTCCTCGAAACACTTATATGAATCCTAAAAATCGGTTGAACGAGGAAGTCGGCCTCGCTCGACCTTGGACCGTCGTGCTGCGCCGTTTTTTTTTCTGCTTGCTCCTTCTTTCATCTACATGCCTATACAAGGTCGCACAGATTTTTCATTTGCATAAACTCATTGATTCTTTTATTCCTCGTCTGAACTCGTTACGCCCCATCCTTCCCAGTCAGTCTCTAATTTATGTTTTTGGATCGCTATTCACGGGGTTGGGTGGAGTCAAAACGCGTGGCGTACATCTGGAGAGAAAGTTGTGAAACACCAATTCTAGATTTGCTAACTGTTTGTATAATTGAAATTCTTGTGCCAATTTTTTCCACTTTTCAAGTAAGTTTACTTTTGAATTTCTTCCAAGTAGATTTAAAATTGCTCTTTTCTATTTAGATCCATTTCCCTGTATAATGAACGGGTTTCCTAAACTCGGTTCGCACTCTTCGAGGAATTTTCTTCTTTGATTTTGAACTGTTTTCAAAAGTTTGACAAGTGGCCTAATTAGTGAAAGAAAAAGTTTTTTTGTTGCTCAAACTTTATTTTTTTTTGAGAACTGGCTTTTTTCCTGATAAAAACCACGAAAAGCTCATTATTTTTGTTCGGAGATGTGAAGAGATTTACTGGTAACAGGAATTGCCTCATAATAGCAGCGTTTGTCAACCTTGAGGCATCAATTGAGGTCCGTTAGGGTTCTTGTCGCTTTGCTGCGCGGCTGGCAGGAACTGGTTGCGCTGGACTGCATATGGCAAAGCGAAAGTAAATCTCCATGGGATTTTCTTCGGCGGACTCTCAACTGCCACTCGTTGCTCTCGCTGTTTCTGTAGCCTTTTCCAGTTTTTGGTCGAAAGGCTCAATGCGACCGAAATCTCAAATAATTTTGACTTTTTGTAAAAAATTATCCCATTTTGTTTGCAAAAACCTTTCTTCGATAGAAAAAAAAGCACAATCAACTTGTTTTTGCAAACCGATTCTATTTGATAAACTGTAGACTTTTACGCCCTGACTGATTCATACAACATCAAGTTTTTCGAGTGTTTTTGTTCGAACGGTACTGTACCATTTTGAACACGCTCTTCATTCAGTCAAAAAATCAAATATTTCTTTTCCAAATTGCAATTTATTGGCTTTGTAGTTGTTTTTTAGTTTTTCCAAAAGGTACCTCAAAAGTTGCCATTTCAGCATCCTTACTCCAATAATCCTTTTGTTTGATAAGGCTATCTTAATCTGACACAATGGCAATCAGAAATAGTGATTTGATCCCAGCTGAGACGTTCCTAAACGTGCTTATCCAACCAATTTCCGTATTCTAAATTTTTTGAACAGTATTTTAAAAAGCTTAGTTTTTGCATTTTTTTTTTCCTTTTCCTGCGAGATCATAGAAACATGAAGTTGCCACTTTAAAACGAAAGAAAAGAAAGTGTGAAAAACTAAGTTGGTTCATTCATTTTTGCAAGTAAATATAATGCCAGAAATTTCAGAAAGTTTTTTTGAATTGATAAATGAACATTAGCAGAATGATAAGTTTTTTTATTAATTTGGTACTTTTTACTTCTTTAACTGGATTTTTTTCAGAACCGTTAAAAAAATTATAATATGTTGGGAAATTGTCAAAAAGGAAAAAAAAATCAAAAAGGTGGCTTGGGTTCGAACTTGAAACTTCTTGTACTGCTTCAAGCCTCAAGAATGTTCCGCGTTTCAAGTTTTCATACCAAAATTTTGAATCGTTTTCGATAAGGTTAAAACCAATGATACAAAATTCCACTGATGCTTTTGTACAAAAAAAAAACTATTTAATCGCACAACTCTCTGTTTATGATGTTATCTGAAAAAAAGCCATTGGAAAAAGGTTACTGACTAGATAAGCTGCGTGTAGTACGAGGCTCCGCCCCTCTCGAGGACTGTCGCGCTTTTCGCTTGAAAATGCCTGTGAACGACTGTTGTCACAACAAGCAAAAGCTTCTTCATTGCAAATATTGCGTCTACGCCATACACACTGCCATCGAATTGAAAGCTTTCCAGTTTTCCATTTTTCCATTTTTCATCTTGTTTTTTTTTCCGTTTCGCTTTTATTGGCGTATTCTGCATACGCGCGTCATTCAAACAGTAACTGTTCTATCACTTTTCCCACGTTTTTTTCTCCCGGAAACGGCGACTTTTTTGTTCCCGTGTTTGATATAGAAGTTTGCATTTCACATCAACTCTTCAGTCATTGGTACTTTTAACGCAAAAACCTGCTCTAAAACATCCCACCCATTCAGTTTTTTTTTCAAAATGAACTAATTCAATTATTATCAGATACCATTGACTTCTAGCAATTTATTGTCAAAAGTAGGAATAAAAACGACATAAAAGTTTATATCCTCTGCTGATAGTTCAATCAACGATTTTCAGATGATGAAGTTTTGAAAGCCTTCATCTATAATTGACAATCTTCATCTCATGAGCTTTTTTTATAATTTCTCAATAAATTCTCTCAACATCATTCAATAAGATTCACATTGGCATCGAATAACTGAACTTGGGAAGTCTAATCAAGTTCATGTATTATCATGAAATTACTCATCAGAAAGTACCTAAAGGTTGAAAATGACATATAATGATCATTTAATCGGTTTACCTTTTTAACACCCCCACAAATCTTTTAAACGTTTTTTTCACTCATCTTTTTTTGAGGGCGGCGTCTTTCATTTTCCATTCGCCATTGTCCTTGCGCAAAAGCTACAACGATAACAAAAGCCAATAAAGCTTTTAAAATGTCTTCTCAAATTTTTAGAACATTTATCTATATGATCACTGAGATCATTCACTGATCATATAGTCGAAATTCTTCTCAAAACCTCTTCAATAGATGAATTTTCTGTACCCCTCTTTTGAATGTTTTTTCCTTGGTGAACCATTTGATCTGAACTATTGAAGTGTAGGCAGATCAACGCACAGAAAATTCGTTTCCGATTGCAGTCCAACTCGAAATTCCCAGATTAGCCTTAGAATAGCTCGTCGAGTACGATATGTAGTCTCAAAGAGATCATGCGAACAAAAACTCACCATTAACTTCAACTGTACCTGAAGTTGATCAAAGCTCAAAAAGAAAATAGAAAGTTATTTTTGAGCTGTCTTTTCGAAATACTTTTGGCGGGTTATCAATGATGACAGCTTCATATGCTGTCCAGGACTTGGCCATTGATAGCGTTCTCAATTACTTTTTTTGCTTTTCACTGCATCGATTCTCTAGTATTCAAAATCTGTTTCGCAAAATGAACTTTTTAAATAAGGTATGTTGTAGTTTTTTCATCTATCGAATTCCGTTGAGAAGTTTTCGCGCTCATTGGGTCGAAGTTTTTTTCTGTTCGAGTCAAAAGAACATGGTACACACAACCAGCAGTACATGAAAAAAATATTCTAATTTATTTTGGAAAAAAACTGTTGTTTCTTGATCAATTTTTTTCGTATGAAAATCACATTTTTTAGTCTTTTTGTTTTCTGTTAGGAGAAACATTTTGCAAAAGACAACTTTATCATCTTATTTTTTCAGTATCTCAGAGACAAATAGCCCAATAGAAGACAAAATAAAGTTGAGACTTTGGTGAAAAATTAATAACAAAAAATTGAAATTCTTGTTTCTTTTCCATGTCGACTCAATTTTTTTCAGCTAGCTCATCGGATTCTTTTTTTTGCATTTATAGAAGCTGGAAAATCAAACTGTGGTTTCCAAGGGATGGGTCACAAATCTTGAAGTTTCATTAAGGCCACAATAAGCCAAAAAGAGTTCTTCTTCATGGCACACCCTTTTTCTTCAAACGATACGTTCATTTAGATTCTCATCAGTTGAAAATTAAAAAATATGTTTTGCCGCCCTATTTCTCAATATGTAACGCCTACCAGTTATGAATCACAAAAAGGCAGCTTATTGTGTAGAATCAACTATTTCTGGTTTTTTGTCTTCTTATCAGTCACATGTTAACGATGAGTCAAAGTTAGTGATAAATTATGTGAATTCATGAGTTGGTCATTTTCACACCTGTTAATGGACAATTGTTTGTGGGCCTATAACGTAAAACGTGGGGACATGGCTCGTTATCAATTTTAGTGTGCTTTTCTCCAAGGCTTCGGCCCGAGATAGCAAAATCTCTCCAGTTTTTGCGGACTCCTTTTCTGTTACGTTTGGTACTATAGTTCTTCCAAAGATAGTTTTTCAATGGGGGATATTCACTTTTCTAATCAACAATGTTTCTAAAAATTTACCAAGAAACAAAAATCTTTTCTGCTTAAGCGAATGAAATTCGAGAAAAAAAAAACAACTTTTTTTGCTCTTTAAAAAAATTTCAATGTCTTCAATTTCAGATTTGGACGGCGTTAAAAGAAAAAATTAACTCCAAAGAAACTATTGAAAAGTCTTTTGAACAAACGACTGTGGAAGAAATAACAGTTGAAAAAAGGCCCATGGCACCTGAGCCGCCAAAAGAAATGAACAAAGTGGCTCACCCAATCGGAAATGCGACGAGGATTCACACTCTAGGTAGATCTGTCAAGTATCTTGAATTACCTCTGTTTCTTCTATTTCCTGCGGTTGCTTTTTTCAGAAATAAAAAATATAGTGTAAAGCTTCAGAGTATAGCTTCATTCACATTGCTTTTACTATTATAAAGAAGCACTTTTTCGAGAGACTTTTGAAAATATTCGACAAAGACAGGGAGGGTCAGTGTCAACTTTAATGTTTGAACAAACTTTCAAACGAAAAGCCAATTCATTCCCCTACGTGTTGTCCCTCTTTGTTCCCATGTGATTCATTCTGAACGTGTCTAGCGTCATACTCTTTTTTTCTGCTTCAGTCCAGTGTCTTTTCTGTTATTCAGCGAAACGTTATCATATCAATCATTCTTGATTTCAGATCCCATGTGCTCGAGGAAAACCGGTTTCAGCCGGGTACTGGATGGGTTAGCGAAGCGGCAGCTCGAACATGACTTTCAATTAGAAAGAGCCGCTCAAACCTATGATCCAATCAAAAACATCGGCGCCGGCGCATTTGGGATTGTCTGCATGGCGAAGGAGAGAAACACGGAGAACTATGTAAAATTTTTCTTCAATTATTTTCTTCAGACGATCTATGAAATATTTTCGAAAAAATTCATTTTGAACAGGTGGCAATCAAAAAAATCGGACACGCATCAGCTACTCCGACATTGGCTCGCAGAACTCTACGAGAAATTCGTGTGCTGCGGTTCCTCAATCATCCAAACATCGTGACATTGAGGGACATTTTCCGAACGCAGGGACCTCTTGGAACCGATGTTTATTTGGGTACGTTGTACGATTAAAAAGTCAGAAGCGGCTACCAGCTGCCAAAATTCTTATCTAACTGACATTGGCCAGGTCAGTAGGCTGTATATGTGCACAATCGATGTACTCTCATGGCCGATCTGTTTGTGTTGCTAAATTGTATTCTGGTCATTCAGTAGCACAAAGTATACTTAACAGTTGTTTCTTTCGAATGGAACTTTGAATTGAACTCTTAGAAATCGAAGGTTTTTTTCAGTGATGGATTTGATGGAAACGAATCTGCACAGAGTTATATACGATACGGAAAGAGAACTCCGGGAAGACGAAATCATGCAATGTCTCCGTCAGCTCCTAGTTGGTCTGCAGGTATGCAGTCGTTTCTTCAAAAATGAAGGACATTCGCACTTCTTTGGAAAGTCAGTAACTGTTTCACAGTCGGAGAGATCCAACTCTCGTTACGGTTTCTCTGAGAGAAGAAACTATCCATAACCTAAAAACGACCTTGTAAAGATTTCCTTTTGCCTCACGAGAGTCATCAATTTAAGCGGCGCCAGCCGCAGATAGTGTCCTCTTTGCCTGGAGAAGACCACTCCCATGCTTTAATTTTCTTTGTTACGCTATCAAAAAGCAAATAAAAGTACAGACGGAAATGGATAGTTCACGTCTAAAACGCAAACAGGTCACACCAAGAGGGCACTGTGGAAACCGGTGTTCGATAAAAATGATATTTTTGTCGTTTAAAAAAAGGTTCTTCATCAGAAAAAAGATGTTATTACAGTATCTTCACAAAGCTCAAATCGCTCATCGAGACTTGAAGCCATCCAATCTTCTTGTTAACTGGGAAACCGATAGCTCCATCACGCTGAGAATAGCTGATTTCGGTAATTTTCGATCAAATTTTAATGAAAATTATTCAATATTATTTTCTCAGAAGATCAAATATTTTTTCAGGCATGGCGAAGTTGGCAGAGAAAGAGAAACGTAACGACGAAGCAGATGAGCATTGTTTCTACATGACGCAGCACGTGGCCACTCTCCCATACAGGTTTGTTCTTTCGAAAAGTTGGTTTCATTGAGAACAAAAGTCGCTAAGTCATGCTGCAAATTAAATAAGAGGTTTGGTTTTTTGGCGCGTTGTTGGAGAAATTTGATTTATTTGGTTCTAACAAACGCGTTAGGACTTGCTTCTAGCGCAGTAAATCATTGGAACTTGATGTTGCCCGCAGATTGCACTATTACAATAGAATCTGTATTCCCTAAAGGATGATATTTTTGAATAGAAAAAAATAGGGTTGTTATCCTAAATCTGGACAATTTCAGAGCTCCAGAATTGTTATTCGTTATGCCTGAGCATTCAACCGCCGTCGACATGTGGGCAGTTGGATGCATTTTGGGAGAGATGTACAAAAGACAAGAACTATTCCCTGCCAGAAGTGTCCAGAGCCAGATCTATATTCTCGTCTTCACTTTCGGGAAGCCCAGCGCCAAGATTCTCCGCGAGATTCGTTGCGAACGTACCAAGCAACTCATCGAGAAGTACAACTGCGACACGAGCGTCAGCTTCCGAGAGCTTATTCCTTATGGCGAAGTTTGCTGTTTCTTCCCGTTATATTCCGGTTTTATGTTTTTTAGGATGGATTGAGCTGTAACGCCCTTGACTTCGTTTCGCGGTTGCTCACAATAGACCCAGACAATAGAATGGACATCAACGAAGCTTTGACTCATCCCTTCATTCAGGACTACTTTCCTCAAATCCCCAATCAGCCTACATGTCCGTTCCGAGTAAGTTTGGGTGAATTTAGAAGTTCTCACGACCTCTTTTCAGGTGAAAAACGACATGAAAAATGTGGAGGTTCTCAAACACCATCAGCTTACTGCCGCTTTATGCAAAGACGTCAAGTCAGCTGAAAACAGTTACAACGCCGAAATGTATTCAGGAGGTAGTTCTTGGAAAAAAAAATGTGGTTCAACTGCACTTCTCGTTCATCTAACACTATAAATGCTTAACGCGCACTTTCAGTTATACCCTAACAAACTTTTCAGATTATCCATATGAAAGAATACGGGCGTGGTCGCCTGGAGATTTTGAAAGAGAACGAAATGACGAAATCTTCGGAGGGACAAGAACTAACCCACGGTAACGCTTTGAATAACGCTGACGTTTTGTTTTTTTTATGATCAAAAAGATCAAATAACGAATTGCTCGAAAGAAATGGACGCAGTAAAATGCTGAAAAACAGATTTAAAAAAATGAAAAAAACAAATGAACAGGGTTTTTCAAAATTGATATCAGATTGTGAAGATATTTCGCATTTCCAAATATATATTTTGGATTTTTTTGAAAAATTTTTTTCGAGAGTATTTCCAATTTGGAATCCACGCCAAGACAGCGTTTTTTCCATATTAACAAAAGTTTTTTTTCCCTAACTTAAAATTTTTCGGCCAGTACCTCGAAACTCTATCCAGATCGGAAGCCTTCTTCTCGGAAAAATTATCGGAAATGGCAGAAAATTTCGAATGGGAATGAAAAATTAAACAGAAATAAAAAAATAAAACAATTCACTTCACTTATAAACCAAAAAAAAAACCATTGATTTTGCTAACCTCATTCTCCCTGGCTTTTCTTTAAACACGACAACTTCCTACTTCCGGTTGATACATATTTTGTATGTTTGCTTGGCTTTTACACCGCGCAAAGTGTTCGATTTTCAGTTCAAAAGATGAAAACGATAATTTAAAAAAATGTATTTTTTGAAGTAAAACATTTAGTTGGAATATAATTCATGAAAGTTTAAGGCATTTTTTTTATAAAAGGAGGAGAGTTTACAGGATCCACAGGGGCGAAATCAAGTACAGACAGCCCGACGGATTCAAGCAGGAGCGACAGCTCACAGGAATATGCACGTGACCACGACGAAGAAGACGTCGGAACACAGGTCACGCCTCTTTGAATTTCTCTTTTTTTCTAAAATTGAGATTACTTTTCTTCGTCCTTGTTTTCTCTTGTAGTATGTGGTCTTGTTTTCGAATTCCCCGTTGAGGCTCCTGGGTAGAAATTTATTAACTTTATTCTATCTGAACGCGTTAGGATTTTTCAAAAACCTCTGTTGTACATACAATGTTGCCTTATTCGTCTAGGATCTTGTCGCGTTTTGTAAAGTTCCTACTTTCCTATCAACTTTTCAATGGAAAATTTTCTTTTTGAATAGTTCTCTTTCGATACTTTTCAGTTTGAACAAATTGAGCTTCCTATAGAAATTCATCATTTCAGTTGCGAGTTCTTTTATTATTGTAATTGATCTAGTCCATCTCATTGCCCGAGAAATTACTCGGATAATTTTTTTGAATTCTGCTCAAAAAATGTCCTTCTGTTATTTCTTTCCGAATCCCCTCACTTCTTTTCATTTCCCGTCGCTTTCGGACGACTCACTCGAGTTGTCCTCATAATGTAAATCTGAAAACCATATTTATGTGTTATCAATTCACTATACATAAAGAAGTGTCTTTGATTTGGACTATTACGTCAAAGATTTTATGGTTTCATAGCAATTTAATGCTCCCGCAGAATCAGTTTTGGAACTGATAAAGGCATGAGACTTCACGTGCTCTTTTTCTGAAACGAAGTACAACAATAATGAAATAATTTGAAAACAAGAGAATGAGAAGAGATGAAGAACAACAATAAAGACAAAAAGCTGACTAACGAATCCCCGTAAGTTATGAAAGGCAGCAAGAGAAGTCTTCCAAACAGAAAAAAAACTTCAACAAAAATTTTGGAAAAAATTGCGGATTGAGCAACTTCTGGAAAATATTTAAAGAAAACGTTTGAAAAATTAAATATCATTATCGTTATAAAATCGGGGCTAGACTTTTTCATCAGGAAGTCGCGTTTTTGGAAAAGTAAGAGGCAACTATTGATTACTAGACATTCCGTTATTTCACATCAGGATTATATAAACCATTGTTGCAACTTATAACTGTGATTGCTTGAATTCTCGTCTCAGACGTTCAATTCGAAGATCATTAAAAAGTTGCGGCGGAAAGTCCTGCGCTCCATAGATGTATTTGTCTCGCAACATGTCGTCTACTGGAGCAGTCATTTCATCTCCGATTTCGTACTCGTACTCGATCAGTGACTGAAAATGGAGTTTTGGTGCCTTCTTTTCTTCAAAAAACCCATCTAACCTGAGGATAGTGCAATCGGAGTGTTTCATCTCTAGGTCCTTTCCATTCGCTTTCTGCTTCATCAAGTCTGAAAAAAATGTAATGAAGAGAGAGAAAAAAAAAGTTGATTCACAATCTCAAAGAAGGTTCGTAAAAAGTTTCAGTTCCAGGCTGACTCGATGCGACGCCTGAATTAAATTGAAAAATAAAAACAAGATAAGAGTTATGCACTTTTAAATCCGAAGTCGTTTGAAGATGGAGAAGATCCTCGGTTGTGCTTTTTCTTCTTTTTCGAGCATTTTCTTTGATGACAACGGAATCCAAAATAAAGACAGAAAATGAAGAGAAAAAAGAAAAAGCCGCCAAAAAGTGTGAAAAGTAGAGAAGCTTCGAAATTATCTGTAAAAGAACTTGCGTTGCTTTGAAAAGAGAACACACCGGAAGCTCTACTCATGTGCACGATAGGACTCGGTCCGCTGGGGTTGTATGCTGGTCGGATGCTTCTGACTCTCACGTCGAAAGAAGAGCTGGCCTCACCTTCCGGACCAAAACGATAGTATTCTTCGAAAACTTCAGCCTGTGAGAAGACTCGATTAATCAAGAACTTTTGATAGATATACCAATGGTCTGAAATCTCTGGACCCTTGAGGCTTCACTTCAACGCGGTAGGAGTTGGCTTCTTCCACAGGAGTCCAACAAACCTCGTCCACTCCGCACGTTACTACTCGACTGGGAGCTCGCAATGTGGAACAACCTTTAAATTCGATTATATTTGAGGAACTTAGAGTAAAAGAATATGACGGAGAACTCACTATTTTTGACATGTGCCGTCGAATTGGACGCCCCTTTAATATTTCTGCTTTCTAGGGTTATCCGATATTGAGTGAATGGATCAAGATTATCAATTATAGTTGAATTGGAAGCCGTTGTAATAGTTCTTCCAGAGAAAGTTAGAGTATTTTCCAAGTGAACGGCAAAAGTTTGTTGAAAGCCTCCGTCGTAGCCTGCAAGTTTCGTTTTGATTTTTTGATTTTTGGCTTGTTTCCTTTCTCAATCTGAAAATGTATACCAAAAAATGAGTTTAAAGCATGGCAGATGGGCTTTTTGTCTTTTACGCTTAAATATTTTTTTTTCTTTTTATCCACTATAATTATAATTTAATGACGAAAAAAAGTATTATTTTCAAAAAAATCGCGCTATTTCTAGTAACTGATTGTCCTAATAGCTAGCCGCAACTGATGTTTCTAAGGAAATTTTCTCAGAAAATATCAGTTGCAGCTGGAGAATTCAAAAATTTATACCTGGAGTCCATTCGACTAGAAATGAAGTTGGATTCGGGCACGAAATTTTCACTTCACTGATAGGCTGTGGCTTGGTACTCTGATAAACAGACTTATTAAGAATCCTCATTGAGAAATTGAGTCTCACATCAACAAAAATGAGGAGTTTTGAAGAAAGAGTTTCCACAGAGTTGTTGACCACGCATTCGTATATTCCATGGTCCTCGTGAGATATTGAGCGAAACTTCAGAACATTAGATGATATTCTCTTCTGAGATAAAAAAAAGACAAAATTTCAACTACAACAAAAATTTCCAACCTTGTTCCGGACCCAATATACAATGGGCAAAGGATCTCCGAAACCTTCACAAGGCACTTGAACAGCTTCTGACTGTCGAACTCTTAGTTCACTAGGAGGACGGACAGCAAAAACCGGAGGCTCTTAAAAGTACAAACCCCTTGAAGTTTGTCTCAATCTTGGGAAAAAAATGAACTGACCTGCCACAATAACATGCGTTTCGATGACCAAACTTTTTCCAGCAATATTTTCCGTCTGGCAGCCGTATATTCCCCCATCTCCAGGCCGAGAATTTTGAATTTTCAGAGCTCTCTGTGAAATAGACTTCAAGGTTTTTCATTGTTGGGACGAAATTATAGAAATCAAGCCCATAAAATACTGTTTATCTTTTCTTAAAATCACTGGTTCCAATTTTCAAAAAAGCAATTTTTTTGAATTTCCATATGAACTCCGGAAAGCAATCCTTATCGAATTTTTTTTTTTTGGTTTTTTACCCTTTTTTTAAAAAGTTATTCTAGAATTTTTTTCAATGTTATCTATTTCCTATCATTTAAAGAATCCTTTTTCCAACAAAAAAATAGCTTTTTGAGGTCCTAAAAAAACCTGGTTTTCAGGTTAAAAAGCTGCTCAGAAAAAGTTAATTTAACTGAAGCACATATTTTACTGACATAAATTTTAGCTAAGAAAAAGCTTCGAAAAATATTATTTTCTCTGAAATCTTTAAAAAATGCTTTCATGATTAGCAAGCTTTTTAAGAAATAATCAAAAAAAAAACAATGAGAAAGTATTTAGGGAAAAATAACCTCCATCGTAGTTGTGTGAAAGTGTCCGTTTTTTGACCAAGTGTACAAGCTTGGCATCGGATCAGCCTCGACGTCACAAACGACAGTTGCATCTTTACCGGAGGCGATTGTTTGGACTGGCTGATGGGAGGCCGACGCCTCGGGAGCGTCTGAAATCCCTCAAGTTTTCACTTCCGCTTTCTCTTCTGTTTTTTTGAACAGTGTCTTAGCGAAGGAACGCTTTCACAAGCCCGAATCCATGTCAATGTAATTTAGAGATTAATTCGCCCTACTTCCACCACTCCCGACAAGAAAAGAAAGTACGCTGACGAGAAGAAAAGTGACATCTGACGACTTAGCCCATAAAAAGGAAGCCCGATATAGCGAAAGTGGATTAAGAGGTTCCGGTGGTAGGAAAAAATATTGGGAAATTTTTTGATAAGAAACACTAAAAATAAAGTTATCAAACTTGAAACTTACAATAAACATGCAAGAAAGCGGAAGAATGTGTCATTTCTCCTCTAGAGTTGCGAACTTCACAAGTATACCATCCCGAATCTGTTTTCCGAACGTCTTGCAAAGACAGGTCTCCCGTCTAAAAATAAAACGTTATTCCTAATTTGAACCTGATTATTACCCGAATACTCGCTCTTAAACCGGCTGGAGTTGTCTTTATCGGTTTATTTTCAAAGAGCCAGTTGTATACAATGGCCTCAGGTTGATTGTTAGCATGACAATGCCAAAAAATATTGGCTCCTTCCACAACCGTTTTGTTGGTTGGAACTAAATCCAGCGTCGTCGCTTCTACAAGTTCGAAGTAAAGATACTTTCCTAGACGCAAGACTCTCACTTGTGAACTTTATGTCGACGGTAGATGTGCTGCGACCTTCGATATTAGCCGCCAGACACGTATAGCGACCCTGAACGGGTAGTTTCATCAATTCTCAGAATTCCTTCTCAAACCTTATCGCTCTCCGTCAGGTTTGATATTTGAAGAACTGGCGAAACGCTTATGATTTTGTCGTTCTGCAAAAATTTGCAACATCACTGAGAAGGTCGACAAGAAATGAATACTTTTGACCATGTGATTTCAGGCGGCGGTGCTCCTTCGGCACGGCAATCAATCGAGACTTCTGATCCGATATTTCGAAAAACAACGTCGTCATTTATGGGATGAGTTATTCGCGGAGAAACTAAAAGTTATAAATGTTTCTATAATCCAAATGCGATCTGATGATGAACATTTTTGAAACTGAATCAATTCATGAATCAGTTTTTCTTTCATCGAAAAAATGATGCAAAGGTTCGATAGAAGATGTCGCCCAGTTTTTTTCTGAGATTCAAAAGGAAAGAGATCCGATCGTTCGCCATTTTTTTGCCATTTCCAAGGTCTTTCATTGGTCGGCACTCGTTTTTATCTTGAAGGTTTTTTGCTCGAAAAATCTGAGAAAAAAAAAACTCGAGTTATGAGATTCGGTTTTAAGAATTTTTAACCTTCTCAGCATTAGAAGTAAATGAGTTTGGTGGTTTTTGTACAGCATTATTTCAATGAAAATGACGTCAGAGTTTGGTCGATCTCACCATTCACGACGACCTTCACCGTCGACCCATGTTCTGGCTTAGTGGGCTGTTTGGTGAAACGAGTCAAAACACATTGGTATATGCCGACGTCGGTGTCCACAAGGGAGTGGATCGTCAAGCCGAGACCGTTGTCTCTAGCTATTCTTCCTGAAAAGTTACAAATCCGTGAAAATTGGATTTTGAAGCCTTAGTTGAGATGAATTCATGTTTTGCTCTAAAATACGCTCAAACATTAAATAATTTGATAACAAATTGGGGTATTTCTCAGTTTCCAAAAAGGTCAACACAAAATATATTTTTTATCAATAAGATAAGCAAAATTTTGAAAAAATTAATTTTTTGAAGTGAATGGCTCACATTGCTTTTCGAACGTGTTTTATGAACGACACAAAGTAAATTTTCATCTCCGAAGCTCAAGAAATAGTAGAAAAAAAAGAGAGGCAAAAAAAAAGCATAAGAGCCGATAAAATGGCGCAAAAAGGCAGCAAAAACAGAGCCTTGGTCACCCTAAAAGGAGCATCTATAAAGCCTTTTTTCACTATTTGCGACTTTGCCTATGTTTACATTCTACTCTTATCAGAAAATTTCTTCACACACGCAAAATAAGTTTTCTCAGATATTTTTTGATTTTCGCAAATGGACAACATAAAAAAAGTAAAAATACATGAACACTGATGATTTGATGAAATGCATTCCAAACTTGTGTTTTTTTCTACTTTGTCTCTTTTTTTTCCAAACTCACAATTTTTTTTTGTATAAAGTTTTTCTACCGTGTTCGGCTTTTTTAAACTTTCAACGCAAAAGTACGAATCTTTTTTTTGGATTTTATTCAAGTCACGGTCAACTGCAAGAATCGTGCCATTTGGGCGGGAGAGGTCGCAGAGGCGGTTCTCTATTTCATTTCTCAACGCTCCTCTCAAAGTCAGCAGCGTCATTCGGCAATGGTACAGTCTACTGTTTTAATATTCGCTTTATTCTACCTATCCGTTGACGGAAGTCGGGTCCCATGCTGTCTGAAAAGCGGGGTTCCCTCGCATTGCGCAACCGCGCTTTGCGACGCTAGCAAAGTTCCTGGAGATATGGAAAGGTACACTTTATTCGAAGGAAGACGTTCCTGCGTCAGTCATTTGCCGAAGATTGCCGTTTGCATCTCCGACGGACACGACTCTTTGGATTGCTGCAAGAGCAACGCCGAAGATGCTGAAGACGACGTCTGTTTCGGCTTGTGCACTGGCCAGATGCAGGCAAGTGTTTCCAGAAGAGACTTCAAGTCATGTTTCGCCGTCAACTCAGAAGCTATTTTCAAGTGCTTACTCGATAGTCAAACAAATGCCCCTTCGGAACCAACAAATTTTCGCTTTGAAAGAAAGTCTTCCTCTTCGGTACTATTCAGTTGGACATCTCCAGAGCGAAACTCTGCGACTGTCCAGGTCTACAAACTGCACATCATGAGCTATGAAAAGGACGTCGAGGTTTTCGAAACTATACACGACACAAAGCTAACAAGTCTTGAAGTCAATAATCTGAAGCCTGAGTTCATCTACTCCGCATTTGTTGTTGCTCACAGTGAGAATAAAGCTGGAAAAGCAGAACTGAAAAGTGTTAAATCTCCTGTTCTTCATTTTTCGACGGCTCCGGAGGGGAAAACATTGTCAATCGAAAAGGTTTCTGCACCAGCTACAGCTCGAAGAACTTGGTTGTACTGCAAACTCCGCCTGTCCGTGGATACAGTAGCCCACGTTCTATGGGAAAAGGAAGTGGATGGAATCTATCACAAGGTCGACGGAGAGAGGTTTTTGACGACGAGCTACAAATCCGAAACAACTCCAGAATACGTTTTATCTGCACTGCAAATCTCAGATCTTCAAGCAACAGACTTCACCAAGTACCGCTGTCACATAAAAAAACAGCGTCATCAGTATGGAATGGTACGTATTTCTCGAAATTCATATGAGTAATCATCTGCAGGTCGATCTTGTTGAGTCATCGATCACACAAAACACAGCGCCGGATGCACCCATTGACACTGTCGCCGAGTGCTGTTCAAAGGCACCGATCAAAGGAAAGTGCAAGTCTGTCTGCACTTCCGCTAAAGTCTTCAGAAGAAGAACTTTGCGTCCAGGTTGGCTCGTTTACATTTACTCCGAAAGATGCAAGTAGATGCCATTTTCAAAAAGTTTGATTTCAATAATTTATATGTTTATCTTTTTCCCACTGAAATTAAATCATTTTCAGAAACAGTTCTTTTACTTACAAACATTGGAAGACCAAGCTTTTTCTTAGATTGAAACCATGATGATCAGAAGACAGTTCTATTTTTAAAGGAAACCTTCTACCAAACCCATCTTGCGTTGAAGAATTCCATACTCTGATGCAGTGTGCTCTGTCCGACTTGAACAGCGCAGCATGCTGCATTCATTCACAGGTACTAGGTAGATGATTTTTGAATCTTTTCGTTTCTTTTTCAGGTTCCCTACAAGTGCTTGGGAATGTGCGACAACAACTTCACATTCGATTCTAGCCGACAATCCGAATGTCTTGAGTATTTCGGCGAGGTGAGGCCTTACTCAGAAAAAATGAGGTCGCCTTGACTTTTGGTTATTAGACTAACCAATCAACAGAAATTCGTCACTTCGCCCGTAGAACCCAACGAAACAGAACTACTAAGAAAAGAAAAAAAATTTTCAGGCTTTCGCCTGTCAATCGGCCATCCTGCAGCCGCGACCATCGCCGGTCTCTTTTGTTACAACATCTTTTGACAGTTCCGCAGACGAGACAGTGTTCTCATGGGAGCCCAGTGAAAAAACAAACGTAAAGCTTTCCAAAAACTCAAGTTTGATCAAAAGTTTCAGGTTTACTATGTGTTTAGTCGCAGCTCTGGAAAACCTTGGAGCCGGCAAACCATAACTACTACGACAGCTCTGGTCAAATCCGCTGATGAGGTTTTCATCTTCAGACCATTTCACTTGATAATTTCTCAATAATTCATGAAACACATGGAACAGCGTAACTAAAACTGATTGGAATTCAAATGATAAACTAAAACTGTTGGTTTTAATTACATTGCCTTTTTTCAGTATCAAGCTACTTAATTTGATCAAGGAAATACTGATCTGAACCCTTCAAAAACTTTTTCCAGGTTTCGATAGTTGCATCTAACGAGTATGGCGTTTCTGTTCAAAACCGTCAATATTTGTTGGACGGCGAATGGGGATCTGGAGATATTTGAAAGAAAAACTTTTTTGAACCATTTCAATTTTTTTTTCAAAGTTTACCAATGATCTTTTTGTGGAATTTTAAGTACAAGTTTTGTAAATTATTTTTTGTTATAGTTTTCGTTATGAATCCCACGCACGGGTAAATTTTGAATAAATTTTTTATGTTGAAATCTTGCTGACCTTGTAAAGAAGGAGTGACGTGACCGGGCTCGTTTCCGAAAGCGCTGAGCATCAACTGGCCATCTTTCCGCCAATCCAATGAGAACTTTTCTTCTTCTTTAGTATCCACTGAGCATGGTAATGTTATGGATTTTCCAGTTTTTCCCCAAACTGTTTTCATCTGTAATTACGAAGGTAGAGCAAGAACGAACATAAAACGCGTCCAGAGAGTCACAAAAGCGTATTTAAACAGGCTCTCCAGCCTTGAGAAACAAGCAAGAGTCAGGAATTCATTACATTCAAGAGGCTGTTAACAAGGCAAATTAGAAGCGGTGTCAACACAAAAGAGCAGAAGGTTCGGACGACTGACGCAAAAAATTAGGGGGCTTGGAAGAGTGTTAGATTGCACTGCTGTGTCCATTATCCGTCTGGACCAGAATGGTGTTCCATAAGCCAAGAAAAGCTCGAAAGAAAAGAAAAACAGATGGGTGAAAAAAATTGTAGCACAAGTTGGAAGAGGTTTCTCGAAAAAACGACACTCATAATATAACTGGTGAAGCAGTTTGTTCGTTGGTACTACCAACGGGCCCACATTATTTCCCAACGCTAGCTGTCACTCCGGGACGTATTGGACAAAGATTGTGGACCGTAACCCGCGCCGACGACTATCTCTTCGATTATACCATGATTCAGCAGAGATTTTCTTCATCTTACTCTGAAGACTGAATAAATTGAATTGAATTGAATAATATAACTGAGAGGAACTGAGTTGATAATCACAAAATCTATGGCAAACCGTTTGCTGTTAGGAAGCAACTTTGCGAGTACTGGTGTAGCGACAGCTGTTTCTAAGTTGACCTAGGCGTGCGCGAGATGGCCCATTCACTATGATGTCGTAAACTAAAAGCTCTCGTCGTCACATTGCCGCTTTGAACATTGTTTATAACGCAGATATCCGAGGTAACTTTGAAAAAAATCAAATGAAACTATAGCGAGCAAAGCGCTAATAAAAGGCTGAGACCTTTGAAAAATTAACTTTCCATCAAGAAAAATGACGAAAACAACACCAAGTTATTGCTTAAAAATTCCGTTATGGAATTTTGTATTATTCTCGACTGAGATAATTTTAATAAAAAGATAGAAGTTGTGCAATCAGGGGAGGAAAAAAATTAGAACATCAAAATTTTGGTTAGCTTTTACTAGTTTAACTTGTTTCTGAGACGCCTGCGGGATTCTCAAGCATGGTTTTGGTATTATCATAACCGATTCCTGAGCAACGAAAAACAAAAGAAAAAACAAGTTTGGAATATACTATAGATCTTTTTGAACTTATTTCCAGTTTACCAGAGATGACAGAGTCTTCTCGAAAAAAAAGTTACTATTGAATAAGATTTTTATGATCGCACAAAAATGATTAAAAGCTACGGTTTAGTTCTCAACGCACCAAAATTGATATTCAAGTTTTAAGTAATATTTTTGGAAGAACTTGATGCTGGTAGGATCATTATCTAACATGAACAAAGTAGAAAAAAGGCACTTAGAGTTTATTAGGCACATAGGCTGGTGTGAAAAGTCAGCGAGCCGGTTGAAATTCAGATGAAGCTTGAGTGCTCTTCACGCTCAGCCGGTTGGTCAGGAGGGTGGTAGCTGGAAATAGAAGCAAAACGAGAAGTGGTAGAATTTGTGGCGGTCGGCCAAACAGGAAGCGACGACATCTGACACGGCTCGGTTGCTCTGCGGCTTGCGTGAGGCCGAAATTGGTATTAGGGAACAATCGCGTGTATCACTAACAAATGAACGCCGACAGCACGAACATCTTTTGGGTGCAATAGTTTCTTTTTTCTGATGAATGGATACAAAAAGCTTGATGTGAATGAAGATGACTATGAAATCCGGTTACGAAGTATGTCTTCGGAATTATAATTCAAAAAACTTCCTTAAACAAAAACTTCGAAGGCCTTGGCAAACATTTCTAATTGTTTATTACTAAACTTTTTGCAAGTATGAACTCTCCTTATCTACTTATTCACAAAAAAACAGCATTTGTATCAGGAATCTCTAATCAAACTGTGATAGCTTTTAGTGTGACTTCTTAAAAAAACATTTTTTTGATTAAATTTTGCACAAAAATTCTTTTGAATTATTTCAGAACGTCGAGAAAGTTTTCAAATTCGTTCAATTATCAAATAATAAGACAAAAAACTTGAAAAAAAAAGATTTTTCATGTATTTATATGAAAATCAGAAGAAAAGGCTCCAAACTTGCTTATGGAAGGAATATCCGTTGAAGACATAATCGATTTCCGCCGGAGAGCAGATAATGGGAGAATGGAGATGGAAGGCCACAGTAAAAAAAAACCAACAAGGGCAAAAGAGTGCACATCGAATCAGCGTGGTTGACTCTCAAGTTGAGCATAATGAGATCACTCTCATCCCGTCGCGTGCAAAGCTCTCCCCGAAGTCGTCTATTTTCAACACCAAAACACCTCGTTAAAAATTATTTCAATTTTTCTGTAACTATTCTCATGAAGGAATGAAAGTTTTCACTAACTCAAACGGTAACGCTGGAAAGTCCAAAAACAAGGATAAAAAAAAATACTAGACACAGTAACCAACAACGACTGCTCGATAATTGCAGAAATGCTTAATTTTTTTCTCGATTCCGCGCTGCAATCATGTGGGCTGATCTTGCTCTCTGGAGTACTATCAAAATTTTCTTTTTGAAGGAATCGAGTCAAAATTAATTTCAGAGTAGAAAAAAAAAATTACCTATCAATTTTTCAAACAAAACAGTTTTTATCGAGTAACTAAAAAAAAAGCTGAGCGGAAGTTTTCAAAGTTTAAATCTCAGGATAGAAAGCATAGTTAAAACGGTCTTCCTATAAATTTGGACCAATCTACAGGATTCTGAATAAAAACCTCGCAAAGTTCATAAAAAGTATGCCACGGCTAAAATAATTGTCTGCTCATGATTATTCATCTTTGTTCAGTGATTCATATTCCTTCTTATTGTTTCAAGAATCAAAACTTAGGAATGATTAAATTGCCGTGCCGATGAAGTTTATTAACTCAAGATAAAATTAACAGAATTTTTCCGGTTTACTACGGTTGACAGAAAAGAACGGGTCAAACGCCTCGAAATGCCAAACGCATTCCAAGATTTACTCTGGCACGCTATACTCTTTGCGCATTCATCCGCAAAGCCAACAATCCCTCTAATTTTCTCTCAACAACGGCTCTCATTATCAATTTCAACATCTAGTGGAACAGCTTGAAAGAAAAATGAGATGAAAAGAAAGAAGAGAATTGAGCAGTTCACGCGAAAAACGGGACGAAGTCGATCGTAAATCGTCTCTCACAAGCCGCTCTGAAGCAAATTGGCGCTTTTTCGAATAAAATCTCTTATTCTAGATTTCAACCAGAACGTGCAAAAATCCACGAATTCTCGAGAAGAAATCTTGCGAATTGAGATAATTTCAATAAGTTCAGTGGTTTTGTAGTGGTTTTAATTGCAAAAATTGTTCGAAAAAAGCTGCGGGATGTAATATTTGGGGTTGTAAAAATCATTTTTCAAAATCTCAGCGTCAAAAAAACAGCGGGTTCAAGGCTTTGCTCTGAGACAAAAGGACATTATCTGATTGGTCAATAATTTTCATTTTATTTCAGTTTTCATGAGTACTTCAGGAAGTATTTTTAGCAAGTACATATAATGAAAAAAGCTGAACTTTTGGCAAATAAGAAAAAAAATATTTCGAAAATTCTGATCAAAATTATTCAAAAAAGTCATTGGAAGCATTTCTAGACTCGTCGATATGACCACATATCCCTGACTCCGATCCCTGATTTTTTTTTTCAAAAAAGCATTCCAGAGCTCTCAGCCGTAGTTACGAACTGTTCATAGCAACCGCATGTTAATGAGATATTATCATGCAATATCAGCTCGAAAGAAAATTTTGAATAGAGCCTATTGAAAAACAGCTTCAAAGCAAAGGTAGCCAGTTTTTATGAGAGCAAGGACAGCAAAGAAAGGTCAACGGACTGAAAAAGCACGGCATTGCTTACAATAATAAAGGCTAATGATGAAGGCAGATGGCTGCCCGTTCGCTTTTCAATCCGCCCGTAATTGAACGCACATGTAAACCAACTTTTGTAGTTCAATTATTTGTTTCCGGGTTTGTCAATCAGCTTTCTATTTGGATTAATTTTAACCTTTTGAGAGCGCTATCCTAAGAGGTTATTCCGCCAAAAAATTTGTAATTTTTTGTGATAAAGCAGAAATTCTAAGTGAAGTTTCGTCATACCTTACGAAATTTTGTTTTGCAGATACTTTCAGAAGCAGGAGATGAGACAATCTTGAAGTAATTTAGCATTAAAGAGTGCAACAAAAAGGGCAAAAAATGTGGATCTGTCATATTTTTCTTGTACAAACCGTTTTTCCAAGAACTAATCTTTATTATTGTTTCTTAGTTAAGTAAAAACAACCTGTAGCCTTTGATGAGCTTTGTAAAACTTTTGCAAACATATTCAAACAATTTCGCACCCTCAACCAGCATGTATTTTCTGTCTAATCTCAAAAATATGAAGATCTCGAAAATTTGATAAGCTATTCGCTTATTTAATTGTTTTTTTTGCGGGAAAAAATTTTAAGCAGAAGTAATAATCTGAAACAGTGATAATCAGGAAATGCCGAAACCTCATAATCGTAAAACTTGCATTAAAGCTGAACGGATGAACGGGAAGCCTTATGAAGCTCAAAAATTTAAAACGGCGACAGATTCGGAGAGTTGGACGCATTCAATCCGCAGAATCTTTTCATCTTCGTGTGAATATTGCAGATTCGTTCAACGTGCATA